AAATGATGAGGCATATCGTGGAAAAGGTTCCCCATGTGCAGGGGAAATCATGTGCATTGATGGCAGAATTGATAGATGAGATTGGATTTGTCGATGGCTGACGCGGGTGGGAGAAGTCATGCACCCCGCGATATTTTCCCGGTTTTCCAGGTTTGGGAACAAGGGAGAGGGGGGATGACTGGAAGGGTCCAATGACAGATTCCAGTTCTGCCCTGGAGAAGGGGCCAATGTATCTGCCCTTCCGGAATTCTTTCTCCACAATTTCCTCATATTCTTCAAGAAACTTATTAATAGACGGGTTATTAGCTGGAACATATGATTGAGATATATTAGGAATCCCGAGATCAAAGCCGTGCGTAAGGCTGTGGTATAATGTTGGATAACGGGAGTCGAGACTGTGTCTGTCGAGTTGACTACGCCATGCCTCTGGCTTGTAAGGGGTGCGGGGGTTAGTTCTTCTGGACCTGAGGGCATTGCTGAGCGCCGTGCCCTGACTTCCCACACCCTGAGCAGGTGTGCCGAGAGGGGTGTACAGTGTCTGAACATCCTGCTGAGGTCTGGAAGCTGAAACAAATGGGGAGCCCGTCGATGGAGACGAGTCGCCCATTGTCGGCTCTTCGTACCCAGACCTTCCCCCCGTTCCATAGCTTGGTGGCGGAGCATTTGGCATAATCGTGCTCGTGGCGTCCCAGGCATACGACACAGGCGGAGGAGCCACGTCCCGCTGTGCCCCCTTGAAAAAACGAAGCATTGCCGCTTCTGTTTCTGCCTCTGCCGTTTGTGGCCTGACGGTTGCGCCTGCCCTGTGAACCAGCATCTCTGGAGGAGCGCTCTGGCGAGGCGTAACGACGACGGCGCTGGCGGGGAGGGGAATGCGAACGCGAGCGAGAGCGCGAGCGTGAGGGGGATTGCGCGCGACCTCGTTTGGATGGAGACGAGGATGAGCCCATCCTGGAGCTTCTCCTGTCCCGGTCCCGTGCTGGGGACATGGCTATGGCATCATGCTGCAATGGCAATGTCGTTAGTGGCATGGCGTGGCATGGTTGTCAGTGGTGTGGAGTGACGAGGCATGGTTGTTGTCGATAGTGGCATCGCGAGGCGTCGGATTCAGGTGTTATAGTGTTGTTTTGTGGGCATTTGGCGTGATGGCAAGGCATGGCAGATGGCAATAAGGTGGCGGGATGGCATGGTATGGCAGACGTGGAGGAAAAAGGGTGGGGGGGAAGGGTGGGTAGAAGCAGTCAGCGTATGTTGGAAATTCGGGGGGGAAGGAGGGGAATAACTGACCTTTTTGACGGAATCCATCCTGACCATGTCCCACACCTCCTCAGCCACGGTGCTGAGGAGCGTCTTATTTATAGGCGCGATGTTAAAGCCTGTGCCTCTCGACAGCTCGTCGTGCCACAGTCTCCTGGCCTTGGCTTGGTATACAATGAGCACCTTTTCACCGTGGGGCCGTGAGCGTATCGGTTCAAGCTCGAGGTTGAAGTAGAAATGCGCGAATGACTGGATATGCTTCTGGGGCCAGTCGCAGAAGCCCATGTACTGAATTAGCATGTTCTTCGCGATGTTCATCTGCGTCCAGGTGAGGTTAGCGTCTGGGACAACGTTCCGGGATGCTTTGAAGGATCCAACGGGCTTGAACGCGACTAGGTCGTCGACCTTGGTGATGCCATATGCGTCATCTGATTGGGCCTTGCTGGCGTCCTGTGCCTCAGCACATCCTTCGTCAGTAAAGTACCATAACTCGACATAGCTGAATGACTTCAACTTTCCGATGGCAAACTGTGACGGACGAGCCATGACGTGGTCGGCGATTATCTTGCCCTCGTCGAAGTCGTTGATTTTGGGCCGTTTCTTCTCTTGCTCTTTCCTTTCCTCGTCCTTTAGGCGTCGGTCTTCCTCTTGGCGTCTCGTCTCTTCTTCTGCCACCAGCCTGGCCTGCTCCTGGTGCTCTTCTAGCTCTGTCTGCACTTGCTGGTTCCAAGCTTCGACTTCGAGCTCGTGCGTTTGGTTCCAAGCAGTGGTTAGTTGTTGTATAGCCTGGTCGTTGGTTACCTGGCCGTTGTTGGACAGGACTTGCCTGACAGCGGCGTGTCCTGCTCCTGCGAAATCCGGGCATGGGACATTGGTCGGGTCCTGAAGAATTCGCGGCATGGGGATGTGTAGTAGGGAATGTTACTGTGTGTAGTTCTAAAGAGTGTAGTAGGCAATGAAAAATGAGGAAGGAGCTAATGAACTCCTTCTGTGTGGCGAACGAGGTGGTGGTAAGAAGAGAAAACGGCACGTGCCGCACCACTCGTTCGCTCAAAGACCCTATTCTAACGCTACACTCGTTCCTCGCTTCGCTAGCGAATCTCAAACTCCGGAGACGAAGAGTAGCACTGAGGGGAAAAGCAGTTATGTCATGAGTGGGAGCTTGCCGTTCGAAAGCATCTTCATGATCGATCTACGCAGTAGGGAATCCTTCATTGGCACAGATCGCCAGTTCTCGCGAAAGAGCAGGCCAAGGGAGAGAGATGGCTACAAATCTACCGCCAAGGCAAAGAGAGCCAACATAGTAAGTCTAATGAAAGAAGTTGGCATGAGCTGTTAAAGATTTTATTTACTAGTGTATGAAGACGAGAAGAATACTAGAGTGATTATGGACATCATATTGAAGCACGGGATCAAAGCGAAGAGAAGAGAGCACGTTCAACGTGGACCAAGCAAGACGTACGTTCGACTCAGACTAATCCACAAAAGTCACATATACACACATATTTAAGGAGCTCTGGACAAATGGCGAACTTCACGAACTAGAATCCATCCAGTTCACGCGTTCATCATGAAGACTTTGTTCCTATCTTTCATCGCTCTCAGCGTAGCCGTCATTGTTCATGCTACTCCAACTATTCCGAATGTGAGTACGCACACCCACTTTATCATGGTGGGCGACTGACCCTGTATCGACTCTGGCAGGGCCGTGTGGAGTCACTCCAAGCTGGTGGTAATTCATTGGATAAGCGTGCTGACCAGAAGGTTTGTCTTCTGTTGACAGCCTAATGTATCCTTCCTGATGTCGAATTTTGCAGTGCGTTCAGTGTGATCCAGACGCAGATCGGAAACCACGCTGCCTTAAATGTCCCGACACCCTTTTTGGAGGGTGTTTGAACACTCATGGAGGAGGTTGTGGTCTTTATAATTCTCTGCCCGTTGAGGACATTGGCTGCAAAAGAGGTTCCTGGGCTTGTGTTGTTAACTGCTGCAACGAGTAATTTTTGAATCCTTCCAATGTATTCTGCCAATAGTAGTATGTGTGTTGGAATTTGCGATACGAACTAGTTATCACTAAATATCACACTCATCCTCCTTAATCGTCCGAGAACATGCGGGGAAGAGTTAACGAGGAAAACCAGATGATGGATCATGGATGATTGAAAGATGAGGAGGATGGGGGGAAGAAGCATCAAGACACTCTCCGCCTGAGAAGCCAGCTACATTTTCCACTCAAAGCCTTTTCCTTTCTACTAAATCCCAACACCCGGCTCTGGTACGTTGAGAGCGTTTACCCCACACGTCAACAAACCGCGTTTTTCTTCAAGGTCTGATTCAGAATGTTTCCGTATTCGTGCATTACTTACTTGCCCAGGTCAATTCAATCAGACCCCCGTGTTTTGCAACATAACGATGACGCCGTTTGCGAGGGGCACGACCAATCAGCTTCTCCATACCAAAGGACACTTGAACAGGGCCATAAAACAACGACTTTTCGACACTCAGGTGCGGCCTCCGAAACCCGATGACCACATCATTCTCTTCCCTCTTCCTCTTAATCCTCGCCACCCTACACCTCTCCTCAACCCACGCCTCGCCCAACTTGCAATACGCAATCGCCGCACCCTCATAACACCTCCCATAATCCCCTCTAAGAAGGTACCCGTACCCCATATATTCCAACCCCTTTGCAACCTCACTTCGATTCCCAACTTGCGCCACGTCATCAGGGACACCTCAAGGCGAGCCCACACTTCCTGGTCTCTATCAGCACTGAAGAGAATCCGGTCGTGTTCCTGCGATATGAATGCTTGGATGTGTGGGCTATCGCTCAACTCTGCGTACTTCCACGCATCTTCAACAGCTCCCAACGCCTAGTGGGGTTGATCTTGGTGATAATGCACCCGGGCTGTGATTTGGTACGCATATGCGAGGTTCGCATCGTCCAATAATTTGAAGAGGGTCTTGGCTTGGCTTAAGGAGTGGAGTGCCTCTGACCGCTGCTCGCCCGTGTCCAGGACGACGCCAAGGAACACAACACTCCGGGCATGGACGAGGTTGTCGGAGAGGGTGGCACATCTCGCTTCTACGTCCCTTGCCAAAGAAACAATCTTGCTCTGCTCGTCCACATGCCGGGCACAGTTGACAAAATCGAGCCACCAAGTCGTTGAGTGAGGTTATCAGGGGGAAGGGCCTTGAAAATCTGGTAGGCTTGTTGGCGAGGTCGTAGTACGTCCTGCTTAGGCACCATACCGCTGATGGGATGTATTTCCCTACCCCGAAGCCTTTCGTTGCTTCTCCTGCACGGCTGGCAACCTCTGGGTTGGGCATCGTGTCGCAGTAATGCCAGCTCAGGGCAATGAACGATTTGATCGTTTGTTCAGATAAGTCGGGGGAGGGTGAGCGGCTGAAAAGGACGGAGTGGATGTTGGTGCCTTCAGCTGCGAGATCCTTTGCATTGACACGAAATCGGGGGTCGTCGCAACGGCATGCGTTGTCTAGGACATATTGGCAGCACAAGGAGAAAGTCTGGGCTCGGAGATCCTCTTCGATTCGATTGTGCTGTTGCATGAACGACTGAACAACAGGAAGTACGAAGAGGATCAGGGACGTGGTGGATTGCTGGGGTTTCTTGACCAGCAGTGCTGCGGCTGATAGACTGACAATGGCAGAGGGAATCATAGACACGTCAAGAGTAGGCGCCCACCAGGAGAGGTCGTCTTTTGTTGTCCCTGCTGGTAGTAATCACAGAACTTTGAGAAGGAGGTTAGCAAGGGACCCATAGACGGAAAGGCTGATACTCCGGTTCATGCTCTGTTCATCCTGGCTAGGATGTCCGGCCCGAACTTCGATGATGCGTTCAACAACGCCCTCGCCGTTGACTGCCCTTGTTTGCCGAGATTGGCCATGAGGGTGACAGCGAAAGGTATGTGTGCCCAGCAACACCTTGACATCTGGTTCGTTCTCCGAATCTGGGTTGATGTCGTGGAAGATACGGATGCATGCCTCTTCGTCGGTAGGTTGTATGTCTCTCAACTGCCGAGTGATGGCTTTGTCGCAGGCAGCTTGGCTTCCGCGCATGGTAACGAGGATGGAGACATGCTTCAGCATTGCTAGCTGTCGGAGGATGTCACCGACTTGCTTCTGCGCTCCGCCTGGCGCGTTCCATGGCGTCTCGAAGTTATCAAGTAGGATGAGGCGCGGTTGTGTGGAGGCATCGAGTTGGGAGATGATCTTTGAGAGCGTCATTTGCTTTGTTGGTGGTATTTGGAGTTAGGTGTATAAGAGCTCAAGGAGGAGGGTCGCGGATGTTGCTTCAATGCAGGGAACCCAGAAAAGGTGTTCGGGAAAGAAATGGGCTCGGATCCGCGCTGATTCGACGATGGCGAGGGAAACTGAGGTTTTTCTCATTCCTCCAGGGCCTAGAATGCAAGCAGGAGAGGATTCCTCTTTGATGAGGAACCGGGCAATGTCTTGAACAAGGGTTTCGCGTCCGTGGAATATCTCCGGCTTAAGAGGCATTTGTTGCTGAATGCTCGATTGATCGCGCTCCCGTGTGACTTCGTCTAGTGCGTGTTGGACAAGACCGTGCGTCTCCTCTTGACGAGACTGAAGCTGCCGTAGGTGGGACGAGTCTCGGAGACCATTTGCGAGCTAGATGATGAGAAAGTTCAGTGGTTGAGCGAAAGTTCTGTGATAGTAGGAACATGAAGGGACTTCAGATACCTTAAAGCCGTCCATGGCAGTTGACAGCCTATTCACACAGTCTTCGAGCTTCTTCATCCTTTGTGTATGTTGTTATCAGCAATGCCTTTTGCCCACCGGTTTTCTCCAGATCCTCGTAAATTGTCCTGAGAGTGCTACAAGATCATCAGACGATCTCAAACCAGATGCAAAGACGACAAACCTCAGTAATTCTCTGATTTCCCATTCCACGCACTTCATGGCATTTACAAATGCCTTCTTGCTGCCTTCGACGTCGTTTTGGGACGTTACGTGGTCTATGATGATGATCATGAGATGGCCGACTCTACATTTCAGCTCCTTGACCCTCTCTTCAACAGCCGGCGATGCGTCCTGAAATTTGTTTAAAGCCCTTCGTCATAGTGGGACCAAAAAAGACGAACCTCGCAGAGTTCAATGACTTTCGGCGCAACTCCGATAGTTTCTTGTACCAATGGTACGGGTATAACATTGGATGCAACGTGTAGCAGCGTTAGAACTTGTTTCTCGCTGACAGCGATGTGCTCGGTAGTTGTAGGAACAAATGCTCGATTGTTTCCGGACGATGTCTACGAACAATAAATTGTTCGTTAGAGCTCATACTAAGGCACAAATGAACCAATCAACCCACTAGATTTCGTCACCGCGCATCGTGTCTCTCAGCTACTCCCTCCGGCGAGTTTTCAGAACCTCCGGAGTCCGGGCAGTGGTCCGCACAGTCCACAATCTTATTTTTCCAATCCCGTCGCGTGAGCCAAGGGTAACATACGGCACTGAGTATGGTCCAGAACCGGTGCACAGAGAAAGGCGACAGCGTAGAGCGCTTCTAACGCGGGGACCGACCGAGTACGGGCAACTGCACGCAACAAGCAGTAAACTGCAATTTGTCAAACTAAAGATATTCACTGAGGACGAGATAAGCGTGTTGGATGAGAAACTCACTCTGATTCTGGGAGCTTGACCTTGGTCCTTGTAAGCACCATGTTTCAATATTTCAATGCTGATCGTCGTGGTCATCGTCTGAAGACGTGACCAACGACGACCAAACACATCGTCAACATAGACCACCATCATCGAAAGCCGCTACAAAGATTTTTTCTGATCCTGGCTGTCTGTCGGCCACTTTCATTTCCCTACACGTCGTCCAAATGACCCAGTTAATGCAGGGGACTCTGACATATCTGGTTTCTGAGCCAACCAGCTGAAGTTTTTGGCGCAGCTATGCCACACACACAATGCAATGAGCAGTTCGGGTTCATTGGGTTAGCCAGACGTCCGACCCAGTGCCATTCTTCATGCTCATCCGAAGGATTATGATGCTGCTCGTCTTCCGTTCCTGAAGCCCAAGCTCTTCAAGCTGCCTATTTACTGCCCCTAACTTGAAGCCCCAGCAAAGGGTCGATGCCTTACTTATGAGAGGGAGCTCTAGAGGTCAGCTACCGGTTAGTGACTATGCAACTCCCTGCCTCAGAGAATTATAGTACGTCTGCGTACAACTGTGAGGTCAGCTACCGGTTAGTGACTATGCAACTCCCTGCCTCAGAGAATTATAGTACGTCTGCGTACAACTGTCTCTTATGCACATCAATTTATTGACAGGGGACCTTATTATTAACTTCCGATTCATACACACGTTATCTCCACCCTCTGAAGGTTGAAATGAAAGACGACCATGGACGTTTACTGGTGAACGGCCACTTCAGTCGCGTAATTTTTCACACTACTATCAATGTTGGGAGCCGGTTCCCTCGTACAGAAACACGCCGAAGTTCCATATGACCATCCTCCTCCAAGTCTCATTCATCTTATGCAAAGGCCCAGCGCGAAAACATAGGACACAAGACACCTCCTTCTCCTGACTCCCAGTACTCAACCAGCACCATGTTTGCCAGTGTTTCGGAATTGTGGGAGATCCTATGATGGTCCTGCCCTACATATTATTCATTTGACGTGTCTTTTGCTTTCCAGCAGATCAATTAGGCCCAACCCGGAAACGGAATTCAGAGTTCGAAATGAACTATTCTCTTCTTTCGCCTGACCATGTTCAAGCGGCCTCAAATTTCGCACGACATCATATTAGAGTTGGTAGAATTGGGATTTTCGACAAGTTGATCAAGTCCCCATTTCAAATCTTACACCACTCTCCTTGGCTCTGAAACTTGCAGTACATTTTTTCGTAACATTACACCCCTTTCGCTGATAGTTTCCTTATGGCTCATTCTTACTATTTACTTAGAGATCCTGTTTGTTACCCTCAAGAACACCCCATTTGTCAAGGCGGACGTGCCTACCACATAAGGTCTCTATCATTCGAGAAATCGATACTCATCCTCATCCTCTTGAGGCACATCCTCACACACAACCGCCATGGGGTCGTCCTCTGCGCATCCCGGATATGTCTGTGCAGGGAGAGACAGCTGATCATCATCGTTCATGAGAGCGTCGCCTTCCATATCTTTAAATAATTGGACCTTGCTCTGCATGACGCCCTCCGCGTATGCAATACGGGACCCTAGGGAAGCGACTACTATTCACCCATGCAAATAATTGGCAAATAAGACGACTGGATGGGAGGCCACGGATAGAAAAACGCACAATGGCGAGGTGCCTTGGCGGTGTCTGCCTGAACATTTTCAGAGATATTACGTTTTTAAATAAGGAAGCATTTACCTTACTCAACCTCAGCATCACCTGGGATCGAATTATCATGATCTCGGCTTGGGAAAGCCTATGTACGGTGAAAGCGGTCATCGCTACGGACCACGGTGATGACCAGGGTGATGACCACGATAGCCACTGATAGCCACCGACATTACTTAGTTACAACAACACTGCCCTACACTGCTTCCAAGAAATGTCCGGTCAAACGTTACATCTACTCCGAGTCGGGTTAATATATTACTAAGATCTTGAGAAGGATAACGATCGTTGGAGTATATAAGCGCGCGAGGGCATGACCGTCGTTTCTTTGGCCGGTCCCATCCAATCCCAACATCACTCACACTCATCCTTCTGTTCCATCCTCACAATGCGCTGGTCGCCCCTTGCTTCCATTATCACCTTACTCGCCGTCACATCCATCTTTGAGGGTGTCGCCGCCGCCCCGGTTGCTGTCGTCATCGAGACCAGGGGTAACTCGGAAGAGGCTGCCAAATTAAAGCTGCAGACAGGCCTTAAACTCGCAGCCAAGGTTACTCTCGGTCCCAAAGGTGCGCTATCCAACAGTGGTATGCGAGATTTGTTGGTTCTGAAACGTGTTTTCGCATTTTTTAGGCCGCAATGTCGTCCTTGAGAAGAAATTTGGTTCACCAACCATAACAAAAGGTTTTATCATATTTCCTGACCTCAATTCATCACTCATTCCTCGCAGATGGTGTGTCAATAGCCAAGGAAATTGAAATTAAAAACCATTTGAAAAAGACTTAAGCGGGCGGTTAGGGTACTTGACCATAAGTTATCTATCTAAATCCGACGGCTCTTCAAGTTGCCAGAAGCGACCTGGGGGGGGGCGAAGGTACATAGATACTTGAATGTCATGTAAGGATAATTACAATTCAAGTTGTTCGTGGCTTCAGTGAAAGGACGGAATACATGCAGCACTCGCCCTACATAAGTAGGCTGCTAGTGAACTTGGCGGCGTTTGAGGAAGAACCCATGTTATAAGTTATGTAACTCCGCAACGACGCACTTTTCCTTTCCCCAGTCATCCAGATTGCAGGTCATGGCATGGTCCCAGCCTGCTAGCAGCTTTTGGTTTCGACGGCGATGGCGCAGCGTCGTTCCACGTTTGTCGACGCCTCCTAGTTCGTTGCGTTCAACGTACACGTCCAGGCCCGTTGTGATCTCACAATCAATTCTAACAGGGGTTGACGAAGATTTGGAAGAAAGCTAAGTAGGCGCATCTTGGGGACCTCTTCACCGTACGTCCTTCACACTCACGGTCCCTAGTAACTCCAAACATTCTTATTTCCCCTTTGGCAGGGTCTCTTGTGGAGTGTAACAGCGGGCGCGCAAGGCTCCTCTCATGATTCTCCAATGCATATCGAGGGTCAATATCGTACGTAGTATTAAGTAGGAATCCAAAAGCTTCCATTGGTATGAACAGGGCCATAAAACGACGACGCTGCGACACTCAAATGCGGCCCCCGGACCAATGCGGTATCGTCGGCGAGCAGAGCAAGGTGGTCTCTTTGGCGAGGGACGTAGAAGAGAGGTGTTCCCCACCGCCCCCTCGTCAACGCCCCGAGTCTCGTGCTCCTTGGGATCGTCCTGGACAGGGCTGAGTGGCCAGATGCACTCCACCCCTTACACCAAACCAAGACCCTCTCCGAAGTTTTAGAGAACAATCCTCGTATCTGTGCAGTACCAAATCACCGCCCGGGTGCATGATCACCAACATCAGCTCCAAGATGCGTTGGACGCTGTTTAAGAAGCGTGGAATTACGCTGAGTTGAGCGATGGCCCGTACACCCAAGCAGGAATACGCCCGGATCCCGGATCCTCTTCAGTGCTGATAAAGACCAGGAAGGGTTGGATCATCTAGACGAGTTGCTGATGAAGTTGGGAATCGAGGTGAGGTTGCCAAGGCTTTAGAGAGTGTGGTTTGGGTACCTTTGTGGTTGGGATTATGGGAAGGCATATAAGGCGCATGAGGGGAGGCGTAGGGATGGATTGAGAGGAAGCAGAAGGGGGATGATCCAGTTATTGGCCACCAGGTCGTGAGTGAAGCTATCAGGGGGTGGGGGCGTTAAAAAGCTGGTAGGCTTGTGTGTAAGTGACCATAGGCGAGAAGGTTGTCTGAGGTCGTGGTACGTCTTGCCTAGGCACCACACCGCTGATGCGATGTATGTCTCTACCCCGCTGCTTCTAGTAAATGGCTGGCGATCTCTGGGATGGGCGCGGCTGAAAAGGAAGGATTGGGTGTTGGTTGATTTTCAGCGCGACTCCAATAGTTCTTATAGCAATGGGACGGGTACAACATTGGATGCAGTGTGTAGCAGCGTTTCCGCTGGCAGTGATGTACTCGGTAGTCGTAGAAACAAATGCTGGCTTGTTCTCGGACGATGTCTACGGACATGAAATCGTTCGTTAGAGCTCATACTCAGGCAAACATGGACACTCACCCCACTATGTTTCGTCGTCGCGCACCGTGTCTCTCAGCTACACCCTCCGGCGAGGTTTCAGAACTGTTCTGAACCTCCTGGTGGTCCGCACAATCCGGAATCTTCTTTTTCCAATCCCGTCGCGTGAGCCAAGGGAAACGTCCGGTACTGAGCATGATCCAGAACTGGTGCACAGAGCAAGGTGACACTGTAGAGCGCTTCTAACGCGGGGACCGCCCGGAGTACGGGCAACTGCAACGAAGTGCACATCTGTCAAACTAAAAATATTCACTGACTATGACAAGAGCGTATTGGATGAGAAACTCACTCTCTGATTCTGGGAACTTAACCGCTGGTGCAACCACTATGCTTCCATGGTTTGTGCGACAAGGTGATTAATGTCCATGTGGAGCCAGCTCCGGTCAAGTTGACGTTCACAAGGCATCCGCTAGAAACAGTCATCCTCCTAGAGGGCGCGTTTCATACGTACGAGGATTAGGAGTTGAAAGCTAAGTATGGTATGATAGTCAGAAACTGGTAGAGACAATCATAGACAGACGTACCGTAAACCCTCAGAAAGGGGTTCATGCGGTTTGAAATTCGGAGGATCATGATGACCTCTAGAACTCGCTGTCAACCGTTGTATAGCTTCACCTTGAAGCGTAAATTGCGGACTGAGTCATATAGGAAGCTGATGTGCGACTGCGAGTCTTGTCTCACAAAGAGATGAACGATGGTCGAACAACTCTTCCAGGACAAGGTCTCCGGACCAGTCGCTGCTAATTCCGCCGCTGGGATTACCGATGAGGAAGGGGAAGCGTGAAAGTGAGGCGCTGTTGAGAAAGCAACGAAGTTGAAAGACGTGCAAATGACCCAGGAACGACTTGACGTACCAGATGTTGGGTTAGGTGAAAGTGGATAGAGAGCTTCGATATTTTGAGGTCTCAAACGAAAGAGGGCGTAGAGGAGGTCGAGTAAGCCGCCAGTATGACATCTGTTCGTTCTGGAGACTGGTGCATGTGCTTCTTCTTCTTTTATATCACGGTCATCCTTTCGTCGCCAAACTGTTGTCGCTGCAACCCCCCCCCTCTTCTTCTCAACCAGCTCTTCGTCCTATCATTCATTCAGTCGAAAGATTGACAACGTGGATTGTACCAAGTTTTCGACAGCTGTGCACCGCGTAAATGCTAGGTCGATGAGTGACTGAGTGGGTGAAGGTCAAGTTGAGGTGGACACCTCCGCTTTCCAACGCCAGCGCCTGCGATTTGGTGTTACATAACACGTGACTTGTCGTCGGTTCTCCTTCAGTCTCACTATTCAAGTTGTTCGCTAGGCTGAATATCGCAGGTTCCTTTATATACGGAACGGTCACCGGTCTAATTGTTCGCTTATTGCCTGGGATGTGGCACACTGCTACCGCGAAAGTACGCGAGTACTTTTGATAAATGACTGTAAAAGATTTGTCAAAGATTTTTTTCTAGCAAAGCGAACTTGTCGTTCAGCAGCTCTGAGCTGAGCATACAGCCGTCACAAAGAATGACGTCATTGCAATGGGAAATGAAAGGATGAAGACCCGTCAACAACGACAGCGCCTTGACAGACTTGACAGCACGTTTGAAGGAAGCGGTGGTCCAGAATGCCCCCCGTGTGCCCAGTTAGGTTGACATAAGCAACGTCAATTTTTTTCTAAGGCAAACAGCAACATTTTTACAAGGTTTTTCTTGCTACACTTATTCGTTTTCCGTGACATATTGGGGACAACAACTACTGCATAAATTATATGGTATAAGATATCTACATATATCTACAACACACAAGGGTTGGTGTTTGTGCACACCCCAAACATACCCCAGGGAAACTCGTTGCATCCGCCGCGTGAGCTTGAGCTCATCAGCATGCCGTGCCATGGTCCACATCAACACAAACAAAAATAAGTAGAAAGGGTGGTATCAGATTTAAAACAAGGGGAGGGGAGGGGGGCATACAGCATCACATACACGGTTCTACCTAACACCCCCATCGCCTGCACTCTACCCATTGGCCAATAAAGGCACGGCACGATGCGATGTGTCGATCGCGTTTGGGCATGTTGCCGTGTGTCGGGTCTCCCGTGTCTGGGCATTTTCGCGCGATGTGTCGGTCGCGTATCGTCGTTTGGTTGGTTACATGTCGCGTCGCATTTGGGTGTGTTGCCGTTGCGTCTCTTGTGTCACGTCTCTCGTGTCTATGCGTCGGTCGCGTACAGTCGATGTCAGTTGTTTGGTTGGTTGCATGTCGCGTCGCGTTTGGGCACGTTGCCGTCGCGTCTCTTGTGTCGCTCTCTGGTGTCTGGGCATTTTCGCGTCCATACGCGGCAAGCACGTCGTGTGAATGCCGCGTCAACGAGGCTGAGGGGAGTATCGACGAGGGAGGCTGGGCGGGAATGGGGGTCAGGACCAAGAAGATTTCAAAAGCTGTTTGGCAACTGTTGCAATGCTTTGGCTTATTTGGACATCACCACGTCAATCACGGTGACGGCTGACGTGACACTGACAGGGAAGTTCCGGAAGGTCTAAGCCGAAGGCTTCTGAAACTACGTCATTCTTTGTGACCTGAGCTCAACTGCCAGTGTGATGGATGTGGACACGTGGATCTTTCATCATCCTTCCGGTCCCTACTAGGCGCCCACCAATCTTCAATCGTTCTACAAGGACCACACTATGAACTCTGTTCCTTCACGAAGTGATCCTACCGGTGAAGGTCGAGGTTCGGATCTATTGGATGGTCGAGGAGGAGGTAGTACGGTAAATGCTTCCTCATTCAAAGAACGTACTATCTCTGAAAATGCTCAGGCAAATACTGCCAGGGCGCCTCGCTATTGTGCGTTTTTCTATTCGTGGCCTCCCATCCGGTTGTCTTATCTTCATGGGTGAACAGTATACTATCGCTTATACACGAAAGATGGTGCGATCAGGTCGATCAACCCCATCTACGCTAACGATGAATTCATCGGACGAACTCGTTCGAGACTCATTACGCCACCGCATACCGCGTTATCACTTAAGAATCATCTATGCAAGATCGAAGGTTTTAATGCAGGAACCAGCTCCACTCTCATTGAATCCTTTTTAAACACGGAAGCGATGGATGCATCTGCGCGCGTACCGCTCAAAGGAGACTCCGGCCCCGGCTTGTCTGAGGACGATCCCATGATTCTTGTGGTTGAACCAAGGGGCGATGAGAAGCGGAGCCTGCCTTTGAAGCAGAGCGCGCTCCCAGATTCCGTGCCGCATGAACCACGTTACCGTTTGTGTTAACACTCTATGCCCCGCTATAGATTCTCATACCTCTGCAGTTTATTATCAAATTTACGACAAAGGTGGTGCGATAGCTACCAAAATGTCTTTTGACACCGACGACGAATTCTTGGGTCGCGTCGATACGCTCTCTGTTACACCGCCTCACACTGTCGCTTCCCTCGGGTCCCGTATTGCGAGCGCGGAAGGCCTCGTGAAGAACAAAATCCAATTATTTAAAGATACGGACGGCGACGCTCTCATGAATGATAATGATCAGTTGCCTCTCCTTGCGCAGACATATCCGGGATGCACAGAGGATGACCCCATTGCGGTTGTAGTACATGAGGATGAGCCTCAAGTTGGGGAGAATAACATGTTTTCGAAGCAAATTCGTGCAACGACGACGTGGAGTAAGCAAAATGTATTCATTCTATCGAGTTGATTCTTACAGACGTAGCCCCGACGTCTGAAAATCTTTCTGTGTGGCTTCCTACAACAAACGGCGAGATATTACATACAGATGGTGTCAGAATAACACAGATGTACATTGATGGGTCAGGTGGTAAGCACTGTGTTTCATATGAACATTTAATTAGCTCTCTCATACTAATCTACAAAGCGGGCTCTACATCTTATGGCGGATATATGGCAATCAATGCTTCGGGAAAGAAAGGCTGTGAGTGAAATCCTACTTTCAACTTAATTGAGTGACTTAAGTGTAAATTGTTTTTTATAACAGTCACCACGCAGAGTTTGTGATTGAGTCCTTTACACTTCCGAGTCGTTTGGTCTCTTATAACTGACGTCCGTAATGCAGATCTAGCTAAGGTCTGCTAGGCATACGTCTTCTCTACACTGCGACTGGGCCTCAGATGTACCCTCTTGAATGAACTATTCATAAGGAGTCTTCGGCTTGTCAAAATAATGAGCCAACAAAGGAGCGATTAGGGCGGCGTCCTACTAGTATGACGGGTGCTAAGCGCTGGAATTCAGTATTACTGTCAACGTCCTCTTTATTATTATGAGTTTTTCACGAGTTTCTAAAATCGATATTTTGGGGATTTTCTCCCAATTTTCTCCCCCTAAGTATAAGTCCACACTCTGTAATCTTTGGGAAGCATATAAGTAGTAGTACCTTCCGTTACAGGAAGAGTGCGATTTGAGTGAAAGGTTGCCAACCCTCACAAACGATGAGGTTGCACGATAACAACACGATAAGCCTTCGGGTGGTCCGACATTTCGGCCTTGGCGAAGAAACGGACGTTAGTGAGATATTCAGACTCGTTGTGCGCTAAGTACAAGTGTGTGGTTCTTATTATTTATACCGGACCATCAAGAAGAGGACTTGACACCGTCCTTCACGGCGAGGAAAGAGGGGCGAGAAGTAATGTCTTTGAACCATCTTAAACAAACAATCAGGTATGGCACTCGAAGCATAGCAGCAAGACGGACCGATCAACGTTTGGCTTGTTTTCAATAACATTGCTGCCCGCGGCAGGCAGAATGGCTCCGTAAGGGATGTGGAATAGATCAGCTAAAGTGATCTCCTGAAATTAGACACAGTGTTTAGTCAATTAAACTGTGTGGAAGGCTGAAGAAACATTCACCTCGCCAGCGACGTACTTCTGCTTGCTCAGGATCTGGTCATAAACGTCAAGCTTCTTGTCCAGCGTAGCAATTAACTCGTCGAACACAGCTTTATTGGGTGTGAGCCCGTAAAAGCTAGAACATGAAGGATCAGGCCTCAGGTTCCGCGTCATGTTGAGAACAGTATGCCGCTTACGGTTTGAACGTATTTTCGTAAACCGCCTTTGCCGCGAATGTATCAAAATTGTCCTTCTCGACCGAAGCGGCTTGCTCAAAGATGGCCTTGGCTTTGAGCTCGGTAGGGATTAGGCCCGGTGTACCTTGATTGGCATATTTCTCTGCAATGTATCTGGAGATAGCCCGACTCTCATACAAGATAAACCCGTCGTCATCCTATAAAGGCGTTGTCACTCTGTTAACCATTTGTAGAAGATATCAGGATATCCTTACAATGTAGGGGATCTGGCCAAACGGCTGTTTTTTGAGATATTCAGGTGATTTGTTTTCGGCTTTCGAAAAGTCGATGCTGTGGAACTCGAAAGGAACTTTCTTCTCGTGCAAGACGATGGCAACGCGCTTCGTGCAGGTAGAATTTACTGCGCCGTAGAGTTTGATAACCATGGTTGGGAGAAATGTTTTGGCGCCATCGAGGATGGGGACACACAGGCTTTTATCTTGATGACGAAGACCGGACAAATTCGGTGTACGTCATCAATGCGTGGAGTTCAGTAAGCAGAGAAGCTTCTGAAGCTTCTGACGCCTATCGCTAGTCAGCCGGCAGTGGGTTATGGGTACCTCGCTGCCAGTTATGCCCCAGATAGACGAGTAATGCGTGATTTATGACGAAAGTTTCGAGAAATTCGTGTCGGAGCATTGAGTAAATAATAGAACAGTTGTCACAATTGACCCAAGCAGCGGTCGTTATCCAGTACAACTTTTAATCCAATCGGGCCTTGATGGGACTGAGCTCAAACGTGCTCCAAAAATCCCTAGAATCAAAAGCACGACCCAATGCCTCGACATTTCGAGGCAGCGCACGAACACCGAATTCCTGCATCAACTCGCGCACCCATCTGGCGTGAGGACCGCGATCTTCTACTCCTTCCGAGGTGAAGACGGCATTCGATTGATTCCCCGGAATTTCGTCATTGGGTGGCACACAAGCAGTACCCCATGCCGATGCAAGATCCCACCAATCGTAAACCCGCCCATCGGTGATTATCCATCGTTGGCCTCGAGCTTTGGAAAATTCTGCATGGACGGCGAGGATGGCACGAGCCACGTCGAGGCCATGAATCATGTGTAAGCTTCCCTGTAAAGTCCGTATGACTTTGGATTTACATCGGCGAAACAAATTTCAATAGTACCTTATTCTTCAACGCCTCTTTCGTTGGCGCGACCTTTCCGACAAATTTCCTCATTGAGCGTAAATTTCCCCACAGACCGGCGAGGTTAAGAACGGTCGTTGGGAACTCCGGCGATAGGGCAAGTAGTTCCGCCTCTGCCGCGCCACGCAAACTGGATTCGGCGATTGGTGAGTGCCGGTCGTACCACTTGTGCTGGATTGTTGCACCCGTCTGGGTTTTCCGTCCCTAGATATGGTATGCGTTAGCAAGAGGACAAAGCTTACATTAGTAGAAATGACTAACATCCCAAATACCTGTAGACCCTAGCTGGATGGATCTAATACTCGTATGTAACCTGTCACTTTTCCCCCTACTTGCCGCATAAAATTTTACCAGCCGCTCCGAGGCCCCAGTCGTCTGAATCGGGAAAGTGATCAACACAGTGGCAGCGTCGGGCAAGATCTTGTATGGTTCTAAATCTTGAGAGTTGGGATCGAATTGAAAGGGGATGGTAGAATTGCGTCCGTCACGAGTGGTGGATGCGTAAGTCAACGATCGTTCGTCGCACAAAGGGATGAGAAAGGTGGAAGTCCATCCTGCGCCTAGGATAAGGATATCGACAGCCATGGTAAAACTTGTAGAGTTCCTCCGAGTCTTGGTTGAACGTTGACTCGGAAGTGGCATTCATCTTCGCTGACATAAGTCCTGATCAGCCCGGGTAATGCCGAAAGCGTGTTATCTTATCTCTCAGACAAATACCTCTGAAAGCTTTTAACGCTCGAGGATGTCCATATTATCGTGAACCAAAAATTGCGACTTCACATAGTATCGATGTAGACAGCGTTATGCACACACCGCCTTGTCCTACTCGTAGGAAACTCGTGAGGGGATCCCCAAGCAGTCACAAGGAGATTGGGTAGAAGGGGTGCTGGAGCCTACCAGCTGAGAGCGTTGCGAGATCGACCTCATCTTCGGCATACCGCTTTGTCCTTGGAGGCTCAACAATCTCAACTTCGTCACTGTCGACGTCGGATGGGCTCACGGGGAAGCGCGTGGGCACTACTTTGCGTTGCTGGAGCTTCTGCCTAATACCTGCACGCTCGCGGGCCATGTTGTTTCAGGGATGGGGGGTTTGGTGGTCGCTTGCTGGATGTATTTTTCGAGGTCAAGGCACGAGGGTTTCAGGAGCTTGAGGAGTAGATAACCATCTCTTTTGACGTCGTGAGGGTAGGAGAGAGAGCAGGTAATCTACTGGAAGCTCCGCATGCCATAAACCTCCAAGAGGGTGGCACGGATGTCAAGCTCTTCACAAATATCTACCACATCCAGAAGTACCCACTTGGGCTGCACGTACTCTAAATCGGAGACGCCGTTCACGCACGGCATCCTTTCCATATCCCGGATTATTTGTAGTAAGGGATCAAATCATGAAAAGGCAGGCGAAAGCCAGTCTTCGGTCTTTAAATGCCAAATAGTTCAGTCAATTGAATTAATTTTTATCCATACATTTCTCTAGGTCATTATCACAAGATTTCCGTCGACCAATGGTGCACGCATCATCGGCGTCTCGACGACTGCAACCGAGGCCTCCAATGCCGTCCATCCTTGTCTGTCAACCTAATATTATGTGTCAATAGATGTTCTGCCCACCCAGGCCAGACACTCTTCTTTATCTGATGTCTATGAGTTGAGTGTGAGTTAATCAGATATTGATCTAGGCAAATGAAGGAATCGCCACGTACTCGAGGATCGGCCACTCGCAAAAGTCTACCTGAATTTCTTGCAGAACAGGAAAATTCTTGGCGTCGATGGCTTCAAAGAAACTAGCATGAATTTTATGGTTGAATCTAGAATACTCTGAGTTAGTTCTAAGGATAATGGCTATTCGGAAGTATCGAACCTCTTGCCACCGATAGCTGTATTCTCCAGCAATACAATCTTTGTGAGCTTCGACTGCTTAAACTGGCTGGCAGGATTGAGGAGACCCTGAGTCTATAAAATTATTATTCGAATATCAGAAGAAAGCACAAACGAGGCTCGAAACTATACATACATTGTTGAAAACCCTCATAGTCAAAGAGACCAAGTTTGGACAAAGATCGAAGACGGAGAGGTTCTCTGCTCTCACTTCATGCTCGAGTTCAATGTCCAGGACACGTAGCTTGGAACCATGCGATTCCAAAAACAGCAGTGCTTTACCCTTCGACGATGGAAGGGACGCCGCATGCAACATTGGTAATCTAGAAACAGTCAGCCAAACCCAGTTCGCAACCGCTCGTAAGACGTACTTCATCAATGAAAGCACCTTTAAGCACGAAGGAGAGACCGCCATCAGCTCAATGCGCTCCAGATTTGGAAGATTATCTCGGTTAATGTTCTTCGGACTCTCCGAGAATTCAACCAGAACAGCGCCTGCAAGGATGCGAAGCGCAGAAAACTTGCTGAAGACGGACGGGTTCTGCCGTTTCTTTGTCGGACTCTCGATATGAAGGTTACGAAGGGAAACGATGGTTGGACCACTGGCTGACGCCATAGATTCGAATACATCCCAACGAATGCGCGCACGAGGTGCATTGCCTAAACCACACACGCGAACAACTGCCATCTTGTTCTGTTGGGCGATCGCGCCATCTTCGAAAGTTTGTTGAAGAGTATCTTGTATATCACCTTGAATTGGGAAGGGACAGATGGCACCACCCGCCATGTACAGAGCTCGGAGGCGCGTTCGCAGAGATGGGTCCTCCTTAAGGCGGGCAGCAAAGCCACGTAGCCTTGAGTCCATGCCTGTAAAGATGGGATACGCGTATAGATATGGCTCGACCAGCATCTGCACAATTATCAGGAGTATGATAAAGGTTAGCAAAAGAATTATTGAACGGTTTCGAGACTTACTTTGAAGTATTTCGAGACATGACAAAGCGCTAAACGTGTTTTGTTCCATGATAAGACATCACTTGATGTCGGTAAGCGCTCCGCTTCGAGGTCATCGATTCCAATCGCGAACTGAATGACCAAATCCCAGACGCAATCACGCAAGTCTTGCGATACGTGCGAAAGGGGCGTTACGCGCATGGGATTAGAGGCGAAGTTGCTAGGTATCAAGGTGGTGCGACTCAAGTCATTTGATGGCTCAATCTCCACAGACGAATGTAAGTCTCTGCAAAGCCGTAAGAATGTGAGATGGAGGCATCCTGACGAAGGAGAGAGATTCACTGACGGTGAGACCTCGTCGAAGACCACTAGGCTCTGTATCCTGGGGAGCTGTTGAAGTTGAGATAGAAAGGACTCGGAGGTTGTCGGTAGTAAGTGGATAGACTCGAGCGAGGTGCTGTCGCCAAGGATCCGAAGCCATGACGGGATGGAATAGTAAGTCATGGTGAGTGCATTTACAGTTTTGAGAGATTTCGAGACAACCAAGGATTGTGCAAGTGAGTCCGTACGAGGGGTGGCATGGTAATCTGAAAGATATGGTAGATCAACCGTGGTCTGATGCAGAATTATAAGTTCTATAAAAGCTCATAGAGTGAATACACATACCAGTTTCGTCCAATTCTCCAAACAATTGCGTAGCGTCTCGGCGAGCTTGAGCACCTGGGCATTCCGAGCCTCGTACCAGGTATCATGCAACGTAACGCGCGACGGGTTGATACTCGAAAGCGAAAGGCACATGCCAGATACGTTCCCCTCGGATCTCAGAGCCAATGTGATCCACAGGTGGGCGATGTTCGGCGAGGCCTGGATAATCGTCTTCATTGCTGCCCCATACCCTCCCTCCACGCGCAGCTTCTTGATGAATAGACCAAATGGTTTGTTGGTTTTCAGTGCACGCTCTAAGGCTTGGGCCTGAGCATTGGACCGAAGGACGACGACGCGATAGAGCAAGGGGGTGGAGACGCGCAGCCAGCTCTTGCAGACTTCCAGGACAACCGATGACGATAGGGGTGAAAGGGAAAAGGGAGATTCTGCGAGGTCAGAAGAGTCTAAAAACTTTTCTTCAGATACGTCAAGCAGCGGCGACAATATCTCCTTCAGAAGCTCATCAGGAAGTCGTTCCGCCATCACAGTGCACACTGGCACGATGGGGGAAGTTGAGGTTTTGTTGAAATTAGACTTGTGTTGGGTTCCGAAGGCCTACACAAATAAAGTCCCCAAAATATGTTCAGACGATGATCGATGAGGCCTGAGGCTCAACACGCTCCCATCCCCTGATTCCTCTCACTAAGGACAGTCAGATTTGGATACATCTCTTTATTCTGGAAAATATCCTCATGTTGTTGAGTAAAGATTCCAAGGAAGTTCTGTATGAATGAAACCCAAATGATTCTAGTGTTGCCAAAGTTCAGTTCAGTTGAGTTCTTTGGCACTTTTTGAGAACTGAGAACTGGACTGACAGCCCCCGGGCAGAACTGAGAACTGAACGGGACTGAACTGGTAAGAACTGTTCTTTCCTGTTCAGTTCAGTTCAGTTCTCAGTTTGAACTGCCGAACTGGCTGAAAAAAATGATAATTTCCTCAAGACATGAGGAAAATGTTTTTTCCCTGTAATTTGGTTGTAGTTGTGTAACCTTTGTGGGTCCTATCAGTTCATATAGGTGTGCACAAACCTCTGTAGGCTATGATAGGTAGTAAATGTATGTTGTAAGTACCTTTATTGGAGTGGTGGCCAGAGTAGTAATAGAATAGTGGGATTACATTAAAAGGAGAGGCATAAGGCTACCATACACATTATAAACCAGGGTATTGCAAGAGAAATTTTGAACAAGTGGGTCAATGTCTCATCATCCCATGTTCCCACACTGGTGCTCACTTCTGACTTCAAACAGAAATTAAGCTCTTGCATTTGTTCTTATCATTCCAAAAAATGTCTGAAGCAATTCTGAAAGGCATAAGGCTACCATAAAAATTATAAACCAGAATATTGAAAGAGAAAATTTGACTGAGTGGGTCAATGTCTCATTATCCCATGTTCCCACACTGGTGCTCACTTCTGACTTCAAACAGAAATTAAGCTCTTGCATCTGTTCTTATAAGTACTTCCAAAAAATGTCTGAAGCAATTCTGAAAGGCATAAGGCCACCATACAAATTATAAGCCAGAGTATTATAAGAGAAAACTCAAACAGAAATTAGAACCACAAGTAGCCAAAACCCTAGTAAATTCACAGTAGTACAAACTACTTGAGGCCCTGATGTTCATAGAAAGGGATTATATATTCTAGCTTCTAAATACTAATGTATCTATGTTCTGGGTGAGCACTGGCCTCCACCGAAGCATCAAGAAGGTGTGTTTTATAAGCATGCTTGAGAATTTGCACCTGACCAAAAAGAAATGGCTACATTCGGTTATGCTGCAAAGTATCTGTAAGCCTGCCACTTGAAAAGGCTCGCTCAGAAGCTACAGAGGGGCCTTGAATTGCCAAATAATCATGTGCAATGCATGCAAGGGTTGGGAAGTCTTTCGCGTTTTTCTGTAAAATATCACTGAGTAGGAACAGATGAGATAGCATGGAAGTATGTACACCCCACCACTCGACTGGATTTTTTGTGGATGCTAGCTTGCTCTTTAGGTAATCGAGGAGTTCCTTTCATGGATTATGAGTGGCAGAATTCGCAGCCTCTGGGGCTTCCTTCAAAGATGACAAAAGCCAATCAGAACCATAGCCTTTGAATTCACTTTTGGGTTCTAAATAAATTGGTTAAGCTGGTTTGATAATGAGATTAAAGATTTTACCTTCATTGGAAGCCCCTGCAGTGAAGGATGATGTTGGATTCTCTGGATGTTTGTAGTAGGAGTCAAACTAACAATGTGATCTATCAGCACCAAATTATCTGTTATTGAGGGACATACCACTTTTAGAAGAGACACATAGCCCCTCTCATAAGATTCTGCATCCTATTTTTCCTTACAATATTGATCCTTGATGGAAGGATGTAATGCTAAGCTTTGTATCAGTCACACACATTTTTACAAAATGAAGAAGATGCACCAAGACAGATAAAGTATGTATCACTTTGATCAAGTGATTTGTACCATTTGTGCAATTTTTCGAGACCCTTCTCAAGTGCATCCTTGACTGGTGAAAACTTGTCCAGGGCCACCATTGTTTCCTAACGACTTACCAGTAACTCTAGCGTAGGAATTGTTTTCCATAGAGTTGGCTCCGTCTCAAATGAGAATGATGCTTGAGCTTGTTGTGGCTCCTAAGTTCATGTAAAATTCAGTAGATAAGCAATATGAGGGAGGTCGAGACTTACAGCAAGAACTTCCTGGATTAAATCAAGCATCTTCCACTCTTCTGACTCAAATTTATAGTCAGCATACTTTTTGTTCTTGAGCTTTGGAAGCTTTTCGTCAGCAAAGACACAGAATTTTTGAAGCGCCTGCGAACATTTGACCAGATTTTCGTGGTTTCATTTCAATCTAGAAGTCTATGTGTAAGTTCTCCGCAAATTAATCCAATCAGTTTGAACTTAGATTATAGCTGAATGTCCATGAAGTCTGCAGCGAAGATGAAGATGAAAAATTGAAAATGAGCGTTATATTACTTAGTCCCGGATGGAATGGACATCGGGTGTTCCAACTTCCAGCTGTGCTGACTCTTTGGTACTTACGGCTTTATGTCCAGACACTCAGTGACAGTGACCAGTTTGTATCCTGCAGTCTGGAGAGATTTGATGGCGAATGGGAGCACTTTCAGATTGACAAATCGGACAGCAGCAGGGGACTCGTTTATATAATTTATGAGTAGGGAGTCTGTTAACTATGAAAGAATACTCTTTCATAAATCTCAAAGACGTGGTAAAGAAAATACAAAAAGGTAACGAGCCTGAATGAGCAGGTAAAATCTTGAACAATCACGACACGGGCTTGGGCAGCAGGGCAATTTTCGGATATAGACAATGGCTTGCTGCTCGGATAATTGTTTGGCTCGTTTCCTTTGGACGGATGATAAGCTCGTGCAGAGTAAGAAGGAGCACGGGGAGCATATTCAAAATAGCGGTTGGGAATGATGACTAAATCTTGGTTTTTGCGCCAAGACAAAGCTGTGTCCGCCGAATCCTCCATCACAGATATTTCCACCTGAACGTCGTTATGCGATAAGTCTTGGTTTAGAGAAGATGTGAGTGCACTATGACTATCCGCTTAGGAGCCCATCAGATGCGGAGAGATGTGATAGGGACATAGAGGGTGAATCAAAGCGAACAACGAGGAGCCTCCTGGCATCTCTGAAACGAGGGCATGGCCCTCCCTCAATGGCAGTGGATTGCTCTGATTGAAAACATACGTGTACCAATTGCACGAACAATGCATCGTGGTATTTCTGGTGAGGTACTTAGTGTTATCAACTTGGCCAATGGAGGTGACTGCACCATCCCAGTTGTGACCTAAGAAGTTGTTGAGGGATATCAGGGTGGGTATCGTACTAGATGCTCACTGCCAGTGGTGTCGTTCAGAATGTTGGCTTCTGCCCTGATTGACTATTGAAGCATGTTTTTGACAAGGGAGAAACAAATGATGATTAGCAGCAAGGGTCAGGCAACCAAGGATCCAATGAAATCGACCATACCCTCTACCCCCGTGAGAATCATCACATGTTTCCCAAATAGGTTGTCACACTGAGCCCTGGTCAAGCCCTGATGCACACTCATTCAACTGCTGCATACTTTAAACATAAAAAAGCAGCAGCATTGTTTTAGTATCAACCGAGTAGTGAAATAGTATCTTCCTGATCTCCCACATTCTCACTGCTTGTTATAATTGCGAAATGACTAAAGCTCTTACGGTCCCAATTTCAAAGGCCATTTCTCTGCCTGGTGCTCCAGAAATTATAACGACAATAGATGGGGATGGCAAGCACCATATACAGTGTGATCTTTGCCGAATTGATGTCACACTACCAACCACTGCCCACCCACGCACTTTCTTGAAGCACCGCCACAGTGATGCATGTCTACACTCAAAAACAGACAGTCTTATACACTTCCAACATCAAAGAAATGAGAGAGGATCTGAAAAGAGAGAGAGCGTCAACAGTTAGTCTCGTCAAGCCGACAGGGAAAAAAAGATGGCAGTAGAGCTAGAGGCATAGATTACAATCTGGTAGTATGGATGTCAATACTATCAGATCAGTGTGACGGATGTGACTAGACACCACTCATGTAATAATTCTCACGGGGGTAGAGGGTATGGTTGATTTCATCAGATGCTCAGTTGCCTGACCCTTGATTAGCAGCAACTCATCAAGTTAGAGAAGAGGCTTACAGGTAGTAAGTTGGACATTATCTGTGTAACCAACATCATTGACCGTTGTTCGATTTTCTATTTGGTTGACATCTAGATTTCCTTTGAGTTTCATGTAGCGAATTTTCAGCAACACAAAATTATGTAACGTACGATCGATGTGGTCGCTGATCGAAAAGTCACTTTGGGAATTGACTGCACGAGTATCAGTCCATTTGAAAGAGTGGTCATTGTGCTGTTCTCTACGCTGCCTCAATGGGCATTCAATATTCAGACTCGACAACTGTGCTTGTTGAGCATGAGATGTAGGTCACGTCAAAGACAATGGTGCAGAAGAGTGGACAGGTGTTGTTCGTGCGCAGCAAAGTATCATCACACTGCAAACATCCCAAGATACTGAGGTGAGAATATTTTGAGAGTATTTTGATGGTACATAAATTTCTCCCCAAATATGATCCACCACATATGTGTTTAGTATGAAAAAAGATATTTGATTACTTATGCTAAAGTATCAGATTAGTATTTTGATGATATTCAATGCCTTTTCTCAATACTGTATCAATAGTGACATATATACTTACAGTATTGAGGGAAAAGCTTAAATACCATCAGAATACTGATATGATACTCTAGCAAAAGTAATAAAATATATTTTGTCATACTCAACACATACCTGGTGGATGGTATTTTCGGAGAAATTTATGTACCATCAAAATACTCTCATAATATTCTCACCTCAATATCTTGGGATGTTTGCAGTGTCAATTGAACACTTGACTCGGAAGCAAACAACTCAACAAAAGTTCTTACGGCAATTACTCATGTGTACAACCACGCAACCAAGAAACTGATAGGAGACGGGATGTGAAGGTCCTGAACATACAATTGGATAATAAACAGAGGCTTTGCAAGCGAGTGGATGAGTGAGGGAGGTGAAGCCAAATCAGTGCGTAGAACATTGATACTGCCAACCCCGATACCAATTTGGAGTAACGACCAGCAGATCTAATCATGGACATAGTCAGTCATTGACGCAGGGCTGACACTGTTAATGTTCACCTGGGAATCGTGATAGCCCCGACAATGCTAATTACAAACACCGACATGCCCCAGGCATTCAACAATGCGAGGAGAGAGGGCCATCTACGCATGGAGAAAATCCAGCAGAAGGATCAAGACCTGAGGCCTGAGATTGCAAGGACTTACCAGCTCGCTTCTGGGAGACAAAAGATTCGAGCGCCAGCAACACATGATCAACCCTCAGTCACCACACATGATCCTGCATATGAATTTGCGCTCTCTGAAGAGAGCCGTGGGGCAGTTCATCCAGAGCTCTTTGGTGTTGGCTAAGTTTGTGACGATGAAAAACGATCGTCTGTGTCTTCTTCCAGCTTCAGTTCACTTTCACAGAAAGCATTTGCGGGAGAGTAACCATAAGTCGCATTGGCAATGATCAGCTCTTCCAAAAGTCAAAGTGCTCGGATGACCTGTACATTGTGAATCAGCCACAACAGAATGGTTCAGATTTATGTGAATAAGGAAACACACTTTACGAGTTACTCACTCCTCCTCAAAGGCTGATCTTAAACTTCCCTAGGTGTTGGCTAAGTTTGTGACGATGAAAAACGATCGTCTGTGTCTTCTTCCAGCTTCAGTTCACTTTCACAGAAAGCATTTGCGGGAGAGTAACCATAAGTAGCATTGGCAATGATCAGCTCTTCCAAAAGTCAAAGTGCTCAGATGACCTGTACGTTGTGAATCAGCCACAACAGAATGGTTCAGATTTATGTGAATAAGGAAACACACTTTACGAGTTACTCACTCCTCCTCAAAGGCTGATCTTAAACTTCCCTACCCCATGCTTGTGCGACCGATCCTTCCTTGTGATCACCCACTGACTGCCTGTGTCCACCCATACCAGGTAGATAGTGATGTGAGTCCAGCCCAAGTTCAGCATAGGTAGAAATGTTCCTAGCCAACAAAGGGATGACAGTGACAATGAGCCCACTCAAAAAGGGTTTGAGGAGGCATGTTGGTTGACGCAAGTTGGAAACGTCTTAGCAGCAGTTAAGACAAAGGTTGTTGTTGTTGTTGGGCGATCATAGACGCATATGCCAAAAGTGCGAGAGGCAACATGAGTGTCCGCAGATAGATGCATCATTGAAGAACATTGGGCCAGATTGGACGCTCGACGCCGACGCTCCTCCTGAGCGCTGGACAAGGCACATGATGATTACATCACCAATCTTTCTCATTTTTCTATCTTCTAGATTTGCTTTGCTATGGACACTAACAATCACAGATTGACATGCACAGCTTGCTCCACTTCGCAACCTCGGCACTCACATCACCAACAGACAAGACATCTGCGTCAATGTCAACGCTGTCAGGATGTGGACCACACATGGGCGAGTTATCACCCTTTTTCAAGTTTTACTGGCACCGCAAGGAGTTGATGTTGAATGTACACATCAACTCCAGATGGTCATGTCCGCTTTTGATGGAGCTATCTATGTGTACCTCCCTTCCCCACCCTGACTGCCTCACCTTGATGCGCCCCGTGTTCGCCTACACATACAAAACACCAACTTGAAGCTGGTTGTGGGGCACGGACAAGCAAAACTTTTGGATTAGACAGCCTAAGTAGGACATCTATGGAGCTTTTCGTGGACCACACAGCTATTTTGCGGAGGGGGGGGTCGCTCTACATGTGCCACCACTAGTGTTTAAAGGTTCAGTCCATAGGACTGCAAAAAACCGGTGGACCGAACTGAACCGGACCATGGTCCGGTCTTTTTTTCGGTTGCAGTTGCCCCAATTTGGGGTTGGTCCGGTTGCCGGTTGCCTCATTTCGAAAATATATTAAAACCGTTCCAAGACCGGTTTTGATCGGTTGCAACCGGTTAAACGGTCACGTGCGTTACATACCCTTGTAACCACGTTTATTACGTTTTATTGGGTTTTTGTTTCATCAAAAATGGTTAAGAATTGAGAAAGATATAACCAAATCCATATTTTACCCAAGTCTCTACGAGATGTAATTCGGTTTCAGTCATAGCTATGTCAAATCTTCATTAAATCTCTTCAAAATTGATAGAATGACGTGTATTTACATGCTTTACTATTTCATACAACCCGTTTATTTTTCAGAGTAATAATAGTCAAGATACAAATGGTTTATATTGGTATAATAAATTATACGCAAAAAAACCGGTCTGGATCGGTCTGAACCGGCTCCATAGACCGAAAAAGACCGGTCCTAGGTGGTTCGGTTCGGTTCCCTCAATATCTGGGTCGGTCCTAGACCGGTTGCGGTCCACGGTTGCGCATTTTGGGGGCAAAAAACCGGACTGAACTGAACTTGCGAACACTAGCCACCACTTCCTTTCCGACTCCTGCGATGCGCATATATGCAAAACTGGTGTGAACTTTGAACTTGGGGCGTACTGGATGATTGAGCAGGCAAGGATCAGAGCTAATAGAGGTCTGAACAAGTGCCTGTGAATTGTCAGAGAAGCATCTCGTTTATGATCAATTTGCATTCATCTGATGCCTGATAGTTTTAGACTGGATCAATGATCTGCGACTGGCCATTGTTGTCGACTGAATCATCCCCCATTTCCTTCATCCAACCTAGATAACTAATAGGTCTATTTTCTGTCTCTTCACATTTTCGAACCATATCAGTGCGAAGTTGAAAGAGTTTGATACAAATCCAGAGGTCCAACATCAACCTACTCTTTTCCTGTTATACCTGGATGACATAGTGGCACTTGAGAAGTATGTTGGCACTGGATACCTCGTCTCCTGGGATAAGAAGATGATTTTGACATCCTCGTGTAGTTTTCCTCTGTCTCTCAAGCTCATCCAAGGGTTACATTCATTCGTTCGTTCTTTCGGAGGTGTTGAGAATTAAAAGGCTTCAAAAGCAGGAGTGTATTCTGGTGAGCATTGTGCAGAATGTCAGTAGTGTTCCATTTTATGCGAAATGGCAGTTGGATACCATCCATTAATCACAAATTCACCTTGCATGCATATGGCAGTGTTGATTCTCCAAGAGTTTCCAGCTGCAAGCCCAAGCCTGCATGAAATCTAGCAATACAATGTGTGTAAATTTCTCCAATCACACTCCTTCCGCAGCTGATGGGCCTCCGAAACATTATCATTAAAGAACAACTTGAGTTGGAGACCGATCTGCAGATCAGATTTTGTGAGCACAAGGGCTGGGGCTATTTTTATCCCTCGTTTTATAGCTGCTATTCCCTCCATTAACTGATGCACAGTATAGGGCTCTGGAGGTGTTGTTCCTGCCGTGTGATGGAACAAAAATTACCTCTGCAAGCTTTGACAACTAGCCAAGACTTTCCATTCAGAATTTTTTTTTTCAATGCGCAGTCTCAGGTTGTTTCTTCAGATACAATTCGTATAAAAGGTAACTCCAAGTTCATACCACCTAAGCCTAGTTTTACTCTTCATTCAATTCTCATCTACTTAATCTCAGCCAAATGGCTGCCAATCGTTTCCTCACACTCATTGCTTTTGTGCTTTGCGCCATTCAACTTGCAAACACTGGTCCTATTCCCCTACCATTGACTTCTTGTGTCACCCAGCAACCAGTATGGAGTTAATTTCGACGCTGAACAAACTCTTATCTTTATGTCCAGCTCCCTTCCACGATCATGTCTGCACTGCCTGTGAATGGACCCGCACCAGTCCATGTTCTGGATAATTATGCGCCAAAGTCTCCAGCTGATTCTGCGAAGGTATCCCCTCCATCGGGTGGTCCAAGATTGGTATGAAGGTCTTAACTTCACCTTACCTTTAATATCTGACCCAATCTTTTAAGTAAGTATCCTCCTCCAGTGAGCAGCCCCCCTGCTGGTCCTGTGCCAATGCACCTCCCACAAAGCAATGGTGCTCCAGAAACTCCCAACGGTTCTCCGACAAACATCCCAGTGCCAAACCATCCCACGATGAACAGCCCAGTGTCCAATGGAGCCCCTGTGCAAGGGTATCCTGCAGCTCCTGTCGTCCCATCTTCCCTTCCTGCTGGTACCCCACCTGCCAAAGATCTCTCCCAGGACAACAATGCTCCCCAGTATCCTGGTGGATCCCGTCCACCCACGGGGGGTCTGTTAGAGAACAAGTCACCCCAAGTTGGACCTAGTGGTCACCATGGGGTATGAAATCTAATACTGTGATTCTTCGCAATATATTGATGCTCTCGCTTTGCTTCCAGGCTCCTCCAGTAAATAGTGCTCCAGAACCTATTGCACTGTCAGCTATTCCTCCTGCCAATGGTCCTTCACCTACTGGCACTCAGAATGGCCCTGTGCAATACCCTCAGACACCCACTGAAAGCAATGCACCAGGAGGACCTCTTCCTCCTCCTGCATCGTTGTCTCTCCCACCTGTCAATGGTCCAGCACCTACTGGAGCTCAAGGAGGTCCTGTGCCATACTCACCCAGCAGCGGCAACACACCAACTGATTTGAAGGACTTGGGAGCACGTCCCCCTCCTCCTGTATCGTCATCTCTTCCACCTGTCAACAGTCCTGCACCTACTGGTGCTCAAGGAGGCCCCGCGCCGTACTCTCCGCCACACACTGACAGCAATGCACCACCTAATCCTAAAAATCAAGGAGCATGTCTTCCTCCTCCTGCATCATTGTCCCTCCCTCCTGTTAATGGTCCTGCACCTACTGGTGCTCAAGGAGGTCCCACACCATACTCTCTGCCACACACCGACAGCAATGCGCCGACTGATCCTAAAAATCAAGGAGCACGTCCCCCTCCTCCTGTATCATCGTCTCTCCCTCCTGTCAATGGTCCTGCACCTACTGGTGCTCAAGGAGGGCCCGTGCCATCCTCTCCTGATGTGCCAACTGATTCCAAAGACTTGGGAGCATGTCCCCCTCCTCTTGCATCGTTGTCTCTCCCTCCTGTCAATGGTCCTGCACCTACTGGTGCCCAAGGAGGCCCTGTGCCGTACTCTCCGCCACACACTGACAGCAACACACTGACTGATCCTAAAAATCAAGGAGCACGTCCCCCTCCTCTTTCATTGTCGTCTCTCCCTCCTGTCAATGGTCCTGCATAGTGTTTAAAGGTTCAGTTCAGTCCGGTTTTTTGCCCCAAAAACACGCAACCATGGACCGCAACCGGTCCAGGACCAACCCAGATATTGAGGGAACCGAACCGAACCACCTAGGACCGGTCTTTTGCGGTCCATGATACCAGTTCAGACCGATCCAGACCGGTTTTTTTTGCGTATAATTTATTATACCAATATAAACCATTTGTATCTCAACCATTATTACTCTGAAAAATAAACGGGTTATATAAAATAGTAAAGCATATAAATACCCGTCATTCTACCAATTTTCAAGAGATTTAATGAAGATTTGACATAGCTATGACTGAAACCGAATTACATCTCATAGAGACTCAGGTAAAATATGGATTTGGTTATATCTTTCTCAATTCTTAACCGTTTTTGATGAAACAAAAACCCAATAAAAGGCAATAAATGTGGTTACAAGGGTATGTAACGCACGTGACCATTTAACCGGTTGCAACCGATTAAAACCGGTCTTTGAACGGTTTTAAAAGATTTTCGAAATGAGGCAACTGGCAACTGGACCAACCCCAAATTGGGGCAACTGCTACCGAAAAAAAGACCGGACCATGGTCCGGTTCAGTTCGGTCCACCGGTTTTTTGCGGTCCTATGGACTGAACCTTTAAATGCTAGTCCTGCACCTACTGGAACTCACAGAGGTCCCACTCCATTCTCTCCTGACAGGCCAACTGATTCCAAAGACTTGGGAGCACATCCCCCTCCTCTTGCATCGTTGTCTCTCCCTCCTGTCAACAGTCCTGCACCTACTGGAACTCATGGAGGTCCTGTGCCATATTCTTTGCCACCCACTGGCAGCAGTGCGCCAATTGATCCTAAAAGTCAAGGAGCACATCCCCCTCTTCCTGCATCATCATCTCTTCCTCCCGTCAATGGTCCTGCACCTACTGGTGCTCAAGGAGGTCCTGCGCCATACTCTTCCCCATTCACCAACGGCCCAGCACCAAATGATACCAAGCAAAGTTCCCCTGCCCCAGGTGCCGGTGATGTGAAACCTGCATTAGCCAATGGTCCAGCTCCAATGGGTCCAGCATATGTCTGCTCCTCCTGCTGGTCGACCAAGCTCATCCCTTCCCCATGTTCATCCAGCCCTGTCTAATGCCCCAGCGTCTCCAGCGTCAACCAACAGCCCAGTTGCTCCTGCACCGAATGCAGGACCTGCTGCCCCTTCTGTTGCTTCTACAGCTCCACTAGCCAACAACACCCCTTCCAAGTCCCCAGCGGGATCGGCTGGCAAAGAGTCAGGTGTTCCAAAGGAGGAGGTATGAACACTTCAATAAATTCAATGTTCCTTAGTTGTTATTTTTTTTCCAGTGCACTTCTACGCTTCCTCCCAAGAATCCTGCTCCGGCTGTTACTCTGTCAGTTTTTTTACCTCTTACATACTTTCGTTGTGCTTTCTGACTTGGCTTTTTTTAAACAGATCTATGCACACATGTTGAACATGATCATTTCAAATGTTTATCTCTCTGGGTCTAAACCGTAATCACACTGTCGTTACAGTTTCGTCTTGAACATTTCATTTCTTTACCTTACACTGGCATATGTTAGTGAATATACCATGTTTGAATGTATATCATACTTTGTGCAGTGCAGAAGACCAGCACACAAATAATTCGTTGAGCAATGAAACACATACATATAAGTAGTCCCATACTACAGAACTATGTAATAATTCGCTGACATGTACCTGTCATTAGTGTTCGCAGGTCCAGTCTACAGGACTGAAAATATACATAGGACTGAACTGGACTGAACCACGGTCCGGTCTTTTCCAGTTGCCAGTTGCCCACATTTGTGATCAGTCCAGTTGCCAGTTGCCATGTTTTTGTAAATATATAAAAACCGAAAAAGACCGGTTTAGACCGGTTGCAACCGGTCTTTCGTCTCATCACATATTGTACCTTACTCGTGCACATTTTACTTAATTTTCGGTCCCTGAATCATCAAAAACGGTCAAGAATTGGTTGAGATATGGCCAAAAACATTTTTATATTCAATTTGAATGTATGTTCTCTCCATTTTCACCATATCTCAATCAAATCTTAACCGAATCGCTTCAAATCTTGGCCAGCGTACGGAGAATTAAATTATCTATCTACGCATGCTATATACGTGAGGTAACATTTAATATATCTGGCACAATAAATTTTTCAACAAAAGACCGGGCGCAACCGGTCTGGACCGGTTTTTTTTGCGTTGTGGACCGATTAGGACCGGTCCAAAGCGGTCCGGTTGCGGTCCCTCAATATTTGGATCGGTCTAGACCGGTTGCGGTTGCCAGTTGCGTCGTTTTGAGGTAAAAAACTGGACTTAACTGGACCTGCGAACACTAGTTGGCGTCGACCCATGCATGGCTGGTGTGGGGGATGTGGGCAGTCAACGTGTCTGAGTGTGTTGTTGGCAGTGCTTGACCCCATCCACACTTTGCCAGTCATATGTGTTGAGTGTTGGCATGTGTGTTGGGTGTTGGCAAAACTGGAGACGGCAGAGATGGCATGATGTGGTCGGAAATGATGATGGAGTGGTGAAGTTGTTGTGAGGTTGTTGTTGTGCGACAAGGGAGGCAATGGATTGTTGACGACAGTTTATGCCCTTTTTGAAGCTGCAGAGTATGAACATATTTCCCACATGTATCTCTCTCTGTTCGTCTGGACAATTCTGCTGAAAGGTATTTTATTGTTACAAAGGGGTATGAGAAAATATAAAGTCAATGCATTAAAAGCTACTAGTTACTATGCACTTCAAACAAATGTGGTACTTCAGTGAGATATGTAGGTATCATGATTTCAGTGGGTGAAGCTGGTGAGTAGATTTAGATGAGGGCTGGTGCCCAGAAATCAAACTCCTCATCACCAGCTGGGATCTGACAGGCTGCCCAACAGCTGTCAATTGTGTAGCTGACAGGGGAGCAGTTTGATGCCGATCAGGAATTTCGGCATTCTGCCATCACCCTGGGGCCCAAATGGCGGTGTAGTGCTCGTGCTCATGGTAGTAGCAGTCCAAATTTCCCAGACTCCACCTCGCTTTGTACAAACAACCGCATTTGGTGCAACTCCGCCACACGACGCGTCATAGTGACTTCATGGCACGCCATTTTATTATATATACTCCTACAAATATGGTACTTCTATATAATTTCTCTTTTCCCATCTTCAAATATGTCAGGGAACTACCGCTTTATATCTGCCAAACAAAAACGGCATCTCATTGTTACGAGGGTTGATAGGAAATGACATAGATGAGACGCTAGCGAATGCACAAAGTGGAGGTTGGTGGAGTGAGAACTGAATCCCAGTGAAAATCGGCTCTGTTCTCAGCCGCAAGTATCTGCGGATTCCCGGCAGATATCGGAGGTTGTCGGCAGAGCAGAAATGTGCTGGTAGATTGGGATTTTGTCCCTTTTGCGGATTTTTTTCCGCGAGGCCCTGCCTTTAAAGCCACCATTTTGATATAAATAGCCGAATTTTTTGCTTAAATCGGTTTCTTTCTGCCTCCACCTGCACTTTTCAGTCGTTGTCTGTGCCTGGTGAATATTTTGTATTGGTTCAGAAAATCTGCTATTTTCCGTAACTATCTGCAAGTCCCTGCCACCCCAGTACATCCCCAAATGGCACATAACCACCCAATAACCACCTATACCCCCATGCCGCTTTGCAATGCAACAGCCGATAACTCGAACACTTGATAATTCTCATCCACCACCATCCGTCCCTTCAACTGACAAGGCTCTTCCCTGAAGCGGCTGTGAATGGGGAGGGAACACAGAAGGAAGGATATCAGTTTGTGACCTAACCCGGACTGAAAATATTACGAACCTTGATGAATGCGATGCCGCCGAGCAGGATTGAGCTAAAATATAGTGCATACATGCATGAAAAAAGGTCAGAACTTTATCTAATTGTGCCAAAAAACAACGTACCGACATGTTACGCCATACGCGTTCTCCCATACATGTTCTCTCGCAGTCAGAGATTGCGTATGGCCGGCTTCTATACATAACGGTGAAAATTTAGTCATTCAAACAGAAAGGCACTTACGGCGAATCAAGTTCACAATGCCCGCCACATCGATGATTGTTCCGATACGTCCGCGAGGGGCTTGCTGAGGGATGCGCGGAGCAATGCGCCAGAAGTCCTGGTCCCTGGAAGACAGAATGGAGGGAAAAGTGGGGGAAGGAAATAAAGAGCGGAATGGGAATCATGTGAGGGTGTCTGATATATATATAATCACCCAGAGTCGACTTGTGAAAAAAAAAATTGAATGGAAAGAAGGAATATTGTTGTAAAGCAGGTTGGTGTTGGATCGAAAGAAGTACTCAACGCTGCGAAAAGAAGTCCGCGTTCGGTTGATGCTGGGAATCACATACAGGTGCGGATTCTCGCTGATTTTGTCCTCCGCCATCGATATCTGCGGAACGGTGCAGAGCCGGTTTTCACTGGGACTGAATGCTTGCGTCACTCACACCCACTCATTTCCTAAAGCGGTTGTTTGTACAAAGCGAGGCGGAGTCTGGGAAATTTGGAGAGGTGTCTACGCTTTTGCATCTTGCTGTAAGGCGACAACATCCATTGAATCTTGGCGAGAGATATGTGTGCTAATATGTTGAGAGTCGGACTTCAAACTCCTCCTCGACATTTTCGTAGGTTATAGAATCTATAGCAGCGTCATGTACACACTGCCGTGCATCCCACTCGTAAACCCTCCTTGAGAACTGAGAATGGACTTTCGAAACAGCCAAGATGGTTAGTCTCGACACCAGCCGTTATTGGGATCGCAATTACCCGCCTTACTCTGATCAAATCCAGACTCATCCATCAAAGTCCTTTCCGTCCCTCCTGAGTTGGAGTCGGAGTCCCCTAGTACTTAAAATAGTGAATTGAACCCGTTAGAGACTGGTTCAAGTCTACAGGCGTTATGAGATAAATTATTGAGTGATCTTCCAAGAATGGAAGGTCTTGGCCGTTGACTCCATTACCGTGCGGCGAGATCACAAACAAAGAGGAATCGGCCTACAGTCGCGGACAAACAAAGTCAACCAAAAATATCAAAGTTCACCAAATTCTTCGAAAATAGTCTTAATCAACGCGGATTGATGAGACGATTCCAACAATACCAATTTCATCAAATTTTATCGAGCCGTTCCCTCATAAACTTCCAAATAAGGTTTTTAGGCCCTCAAAATTTGGCAGGACCGTGAGAATTGGTCTAAAAATCACGAAAAATAGTGCAATCGACTGCTTTTGATGAGAGGCAAATGATCCTTCTGTCGAGCCGTTTTGGCTAAATAAATTCGAAAAGAATGACCTAAAATAGAAATTGATCGGTAATCAGGGCCCGCTCGGTGCCTTCCGGAGACCCTTACAGCGCTTTTCACATGTATGCGGAATCGCGTTTGTTAGAATTCTGTAGCTTTGGTTATGTTTGCTACCTCGGCATTTCCCTTGACAGAATTTTTGCGAGAAGCCTCAGCGCGTCTATATGAGTGCCAGCGCCCCACGACATTGAATGTCCCCACTCTTTCCTTCCAACCGATGGCCAGCGCTCCATCCTCTGAGCTCATTCCAACCCCCAATCCCTCAAACTTGACCTTCACAGTTGCCACGGTTGCCGTGGCCCTCACTGTCTTTCTTCCTGCCGCACAAGGGAAAACTCCAACCGGTAAACCTGCAAAGGCCAAGCTCAAGACCGACACGAAGAACAAACAATTCAGCTACGATTTTGATAACACCAAAGACAATTACATTTCATTTTTGAACCAGATTCTTGCTGCTCATGGACTTGCTACAAAATACGGGCCAGTAACGTCGTCTTCTCGGTTTCCAATCAAGATTCTCACCCCACCAGCCCGCGCGTAAGTCTTTCGCTTATAATCAGTTGATGGCACACTCACAGTCAAGTATCTAGCAAAGCTGATGCTGTTGATGTGGAACGGCACAGCGAATACAAAGATTTGATTGATAATGCGCGCGAGAAGAAGGTGAACAAGCTCACAGTCCTAGTCCACATCAACGCTATCAAGGATGCGTCGAAGAAGGTACGTCGAGTATCAATAAATTCATGTATTGGTCTAATCTGCAATAGCGTAAGGCGGGTGGGTCAGGTTCTGAGAGTGATAGCGGTTCAGATGGACAGGAGATTGATGAAGGCAGTGGTGAGGATGAAAAGGTAAGCCCTTAGTTCTGCTTTTGCCTGTAGCTGAGTCATGGTCTTGCGCACATTAGGGCTATACTGCGATGGACCGGGAACTAGGTCGCCTTCGTGGCCTCTTGGAGAAGAAATATCAAAACCCAAACGATTCGGGCTACACCTACATAACCAATGACGGAGAGCGCCTACCGCTCACACCAATCATGCTAGCCCAATGGTGCAGAGCGCTGGTAAGACTCATTTTTGGATCCTTTCGTCAACACTGACCACTGCCTCATTCATTCTATAAGTACGACAACACGGCGACCCTTTCTGACCCTCCCAACTGCCAGGCCTTCGATATGGCCAATCGTGGCCGGCTTCTACCTGGACGAAGCCCAACCAGCAACAGTTCTAGCTCCTCGACTAATTCTCCTTCCGACAGCCTTGGCCACGTCGCCTCTATCTTCTCGACCCTCACAACCCTTCTTGGTGCAAAGAATCTCCCATCCCCAATCCTCCGACCCCCTACCCCTAGCCCAGCCTCTCCAGCACAAAATACACCTACCAAGCTAACACGCTTTCTTCACCACGCCCAAGATAACTTAGGAATTCCCAACGCGCTCGAATGCGAGGGCCAGCTTTCTCATTGTCGGTATGGCCCCGATATTATCCCCTACGTGTCCGACACTGCTATCGCGAAGTGTGGTTTTACTGAGGGCGACGTCATTCGTCTCAAGCGTGGTGCAGAGGCTTGGTGGGCAAGCCCAGAGGCCAAACGTAAGCGTGCGCGGATAGCATCGCCCTCACGCGATATCACACACGCCATTCGTTTCGAGAAGCGGTTTGTTGAAGGAGGGTCTGCATCGTACTTTGGTTCAGGCATGGAAATGGGTTACAATGGCCGTAGTGATGAGTATGAGTGGTGGTACTATTGTGACAAGGTGAAGGAGCTTGTCAAGGTCCCCGCAGGGCAGGTCCCAGTCTTGGCAGCTGAATACTCAGATGCTCGTGAGGGAGAGGACGATTTCTGATACCGTTTATTCCTGCTTTTTGCCTTGTTGGACTCTCAATACATACTGTAGCAACCACTAAACCGTCATTACATATCACCATTAGTATTCTGCCTGTCATTACTCTCATTATGTATGCACTCGAATGATGTCCAACTGTAACCTAAACAACGTATCCCGAAGCTTGAAAGAAATTCCATGCCATCTTTGATGTAATACTCTCACATGCCCGATCAATCAAACCCAGTGACTCATCAAGCCAGTTGCGACGTAGAAACACTTTGATTGCAGAAAAAGCTTGCTCGATAGGGTTGAGGTCGGGTGAGTAGGGTGGAAGGAATACGAGTTTGCAGTCTAAAAGTCATCAAAGGCAATTATTCAGAGAATTAGCTTGACAATGACTTACGAGCTTCATCTTCAACCAAGTGCCGAAGCTCTTCAGAATGGTGAATGTTGCAATTATCAAGTAGAAGGACACTTCGGGGACCTGGCCATGGGTTGGTCAGTGGAATCTGAATGCATATCAATTTTTCATGCACATAATGAAGAATTGATTCACTTACCACATGTTCTCGCACAAAGTTTGTGAAGCGCGCACTGGTGACAGAGCCGGGGATAACGTCGTATGCAATGATACCTTGAATCGTGAGAACCGGTAAAATAGAAACCCTCTGGCCGCGAACAAAAATCCTTCGCTGGAAGCATCGTCGGCCTTTCAAAGACCAGCCCATCTTTCTAAGCGAAGTCTTGCTATTGCGAGCTGCCTCGTCGATACTCATGAGCTGTGCTGGATCAGTCACGAGTTCTGCAATGTGGTTCATGAACATGGAGCGCTCCAGTTCATTACGCTCAAGGGCACGAGCAGAGACAACTTTTCGAGAAAAATGAAGGCGACGCAGGGTCCTTAGCAGGGTGGGAACAGAAACACAGACACCGCGACGCCGGCGCAATTCCTCCTGAATCTCGTCAAGGTACAAACAGTGTTGTTGGTTTAGAAGACTCCAGATAAGCTTTATATCTGTAGGATTTAGAGTTCGATGTCGTCCTCGGCCAGCAAAACGTGCAGCAGGGTTGTAAGGTACGCCGTGATCCCTGTGATATGCAAGAGTTTGATAGACAAGAGACTTCCGTACGCCAAGAATTTCACAGATTTCTTTGACTTTGTAGTGTTGAGCATGGAACAAGATGGGAATCCGTTCTTTGAGGTCGCGAGATATGTGTCGAGGGGGCATCTAGGTAGGAAATGAAGAAACTAATGGCAAAGTGTCGTAGATATATAAAGATTATATAAATAGATTGTAAATAGACATATGATGTAATGAGTAAACACAACCAAAGCTGCAGAATTTTTGCAAACGCGATTCCGCATAGATGTGAAAAGCGCTGTAAGTCTAGTGTTTACCGGAATTACAGTGGCCAAGGGCGCCGCTGCTGACACACAAATCATTTTCAGAAATTCAACACCATCGTGAGCCACTTTGAGGTAAATTTGGTCACCTAGGACCCTGAATTGGGGCTACATATTTCGAAAATCTTGACCAAAAATTTGGCGGAACACATCCGCTCGTGGGAAAAACTTCAAAGGTGTGTTTTTCGACGTATTTCGACGAGCTGATCAAGATTCTGAAAAAATATTGCCGAAATATTGGCTGGGGGCCGAGATATCAAATTTGTTGTCTTTGCTTGTCCGCGACTGTATGGGAGGCGATGTGGCGCTTTGTCCGAAAATTATGCCAGAAAGCTAGTTAGACCAACAACGACCCAGCCGGAGCGCTACGCAGTAGATCACAAGTCGAGTCAGGTTGGTTGTAACCCTAACCGCCATGACTGCGTAAGCTAGAAGCCGATGATGAGGATTACATAAACTGTGTGGCACAGTGTAATTTCCGGCAGCTTGATAATTTCCCCTCCCCACCAACACCACACCAACATGTCGTCCGACGGCGAGGACTACAACGACGACAACCCATCCAGCATCACTCAGGGCCTTAAAAAACGTCGAATACAGCGTGCATGCGACATTTGCAGGAGGAGAAAAAGTAAGTCACATACAGACCTTCTGGTCTATGTCTCATCGCGGTTTAGTTCGCTGTAGGCATCGTGAAAGGCTTTCATTTTGGCCATAACTTACCCTTCATCAGGCGATGGAGTTCCAATTCCGGGAAATCGTTGTTCCAACTGTGTCGCGTTTCGGTTCGATTGCACGTATGTCGAGTCGTCGAAGGTGTGTACCGTTACGCCATTGTACGGCTGATATTGACCGTTGATAACAGAAACGGGCGCCTCCAAAAAGGTTCGCATGTCGCGTTGTAAACTCTCCTCCAAGGTCTCACAGGTTGCTTAGTTATGTGGAAAGCTTAGAGCAACGGTTGGAAAAGCTGCAAAGTCTGCTGCAAAAGGTACGCGGAACAGTTGACTTAAGCCACCCGCTTACTCAGATATAGTAGCTATGCAAAGACGACAACGTCTTGAAGGAACATAATATTCCGTTGGACCAAGATAACGGGTCACCCGACACCAATATCGAGGTGGAGCTTTGCCATTCTGTCCCCATGCCCAGACACCCTCGCGACATTGCTACGTCTGTAATCCGAAGGGTTGGTGAATCTGTTGATCCTGATGACGAACCATTGCTTCCAGAAGACGACTTCCCCCATCTTATTTTCGCCGACAACTTCAAGAGGCTCAAGATGGACAAGGACGAGTACTGGTTTATGGGGAAGTCAAGTGGTGTTACACTCATCCAGACAGCAGTGGAACTCAAGAATCAGTACAACGGGAGCACCTCCCCGAAGCCCCACATCACTCTTGGCGAAAAGCGCCCCGAATTCTGGACACCCCACCCTGTTCGTCTCTTTTTGTCTCATTCTCCCTGTCTCTCTATCTTACTTCTGGTTGTAGTGGGAACGTCCAGGAAATAGGGTTGACTCGCCGAGCTACACGTTCCCCGACCCGGATCTTCTTATCCAACTCGTTGATTTGTACTTTGCTCACGTCAATCTTTATCTCCCCCTCCTCCACCGACCGACTTTTGAGAAATCCATTGCAGATAACCTGCACTTAACAAACGACGGTTTCGCGGAGACTGTCCTTCTCGTCTGCGCAGTCGGTTCACGGTTTTCAAATGATACACGAGCCATGCTTGATGGGGTGGAGTCCTATCATTCTTGCGGATGGAAGTGGTTCGATCAGGTGCAGCTGTCCAGGAAGTTGTTTTTCGGACCGCCGACACTTTATGACCTGCAAGTATACTGTGTATGCTATTGTTTGATCTTTGGGAACAGGGTCTCACTTTCTTATTTTAGCTGGCAGTGCAGTACCTTCAGGGATCGTCCGCCCCTCAATCATGTTGGACTATGGTTGGAATCGGTATCCGATTGGCGCAGGAGGTCGGAGCGCATAGGCGTAGTAAAGTTCGAGACCGCCCCATCACCGCGGAAGATGAACTGTGGAAACGCGCTTTCTGGTACCCCTCTCCTCTATCATTCGCAAAGTGATTTAACGGCACTTCAGGGTCTTGGTCTGTCTAGATAGACCAGTCAGTGCCACTCTCGGTCGTCCTTGCGCGATACAAGATGAGGAGTATGTCTTCACTTGATGCTTGGGCTTCCCGGCTTCTAAACCCTCCCCAGCTTTGATCTTGATCTGCCCGTCGAGTGCGATGACGAATACTGGGACCATCCTGATCCTTCTCAGCGTTTCAAGCAACCCCTGAATAAGCCGTCTCTGATTTCCCAGTTCAACTTGTACATCAAGCTCAACCAGGTTCTGGCCTTCTCCTTACGCACGATTGTGAGTGCTTTGTACCGGCAGCCTGCTTGATCTTTCGAATGTTGATCCTTTGCGCAGTATTCGATAAACAAGTCCAAGATCCTCCTTGGATTCGTTGGCCCTCAATGGGAGAAACATATAGTTGCTGAGTTGGACTCGGCTCTCAACAAATGGGTGGACTCTGTACCCGATCATCGTGGGTAGTGCATTTCCTTCTTTTGTGGATGTTCCATAAATTGAATGTTCTAGTTCGCTGGGATCCTAACCGTGAAGATGATGACTTTTTCAACCAATCCGCTCTACTATACGTGGCGTACTACCATGTTCAGATCCTCGTTCACCGCCCCTTCATTCCATCCCCAAGCAAGCCTTCATCAACGTCGTTCCCATCCCTGGCGATCTGCACGAATGCAGCAAGATCTTGTAGTCACATTGTCGATTTTCAGAGGAAGCGAAATCAGATGCCGCCGCCGCCGCTTCTGGTGACTTTTCCTTGAATGGTGATAATGATAGAGGCTGACTGTCTGACTAGATAGTGGTGTTCACGTCTGCGATTGTGTTGCTGTTGAACATCTGGGGAGGGAAGCGCTCGGGTCTGTCAACAGATCCGAAGAGGGAGATGGCGGACGTTCATAAGTGCATGCAGGTGCTCAAGACGTGCGAGAAGCAGTGGCATTCGGCGGGCCGGCTATGGTACGTCTGGGCCGTTTCCCTTTCTTCTTCGATTGAAGATTCCTTTTTAGGGACATCCTGTATGAGCTGGCATCTGTTGGGGATCTTCCTCTGCCGCAACCTAGTCCGCCTGCGAACAAACGTGAACGAGACTCTGAGAGCCCCGTCCAATTCCCCATTCCACCTAGTGATACCTCCCCGCCGCCTAACGATGCTTTGCGGCGTATTGCGGGTTCACGGCGTGTGAGCAAGGACGTAATCATGTCTATGCCTCCCCCGCCCCTTCCACAACCAGTGCATCGTCAACATACTCCTCAACGGCCGCAAGACCACAGGTCACTATACTCACAATCCCCGGCGGAGCCCCTTTATCAGCCGCCGCTGTCGCCTCGACAATACTTCGCACTTCCCGTGTACAGCAACGAACTCGCGGGATTGCCGTTGCACGGGAAAGGCTCTTTTCTCCTGGGGGACCAGCCCCCTTCGAACCAAAACATGTGGTACCCTCCGATGGCACATTCAAGTACGAGCAGACGCACACCGGCAAGCGGCACCACTGCTCCGAACTCGTCATCGTCTATATATGGATACCGTGGTTCTGACGAGATAAACACGATGACGCAGGGGCACAGTGCGGGTGATGAGGAAGGTGATATGATGGGTATGACGGAATCGGCTGCGATTTTCGAAGAATTTGCGGCGTTAAGTTATGCTTCAGGAGGAGCTCATGCGGGTGAGGGGTTGTTCAATGGCGCTGCAGGGGGTGCCGTGCCGTTGGAAGGGATGTACGGGGGGCAGCTGCCGGGTAGCGGCCACTCTCAGCAAGAGTCGCAAATACGGTTCTCGGACATATTTCCTCAACACCAACAACAAGAACAATTATCAGTGCAATACCTGCCCGTCGATCCGGATATGATGGTGATGTGGTCTACTGCTCCAACTGGGTTTGAGTGAGTTTTTGACTCCTATCATCTGGGGAGGAAGCTAATGCGTCCTTTCCTTTTGCGCTGCAGGCTAGACGAGTGGGGCTCCTATCTAACGAATGTCAGCGAGCTCACACAAGGTCACCCCCTCTCACAAACATGAATAGACCTCCATGTATAGATTCTTGGGACTGATTTTGCGATTTTATATCTTTGGGCAATGATTAGTGAATTATATCTCTCCGACATGTCGTCCTCCCGGAACTGCGGAAGACAGCTGACAACGAGAGAAGTTCATTGCGTCGGGGTTTGAAGCTTGTTATACGCTTTGATCTACATGTGTTCACTGGTCACGCGCACGACTTGAACCTCACCGGTACCCACCACGTAATCTGAACAGGTTCTGCAGCTTGGAAATCATTGGCTCAGGAACCTCTAGCATGAATCATTTTCCGTCGTCTACGGTTGGCGATCAGGAGCAGGTCTATCTTTTCTTCTCTTCGAACTAAATTTAGCATGCTGGGGTCCTACTTTGTGAGGCCTTGCGTGATGTGACACAGATATACATTATTACCCTAGGAACTTGTGGTCGTGGTAAACTCTGAAAATAAATCGAGCTTGCCAGGATTACACTGAAGTAATAGTGTCTGGCCCATTTTACTCCAAAATAACCTGGCAATGTTATTGTATGCCTCAAAGGCAAGGGAAAGTGGTCACCATTTATAAGGTGAAAAAATGTATTTTGACATACCTGACAGGGACAATAATAGGAAGTTCATCACTGACCCGGAATCGAACACGCGGCTACAGGAATCAGGCGCACCTCACGTTACACACAGAAGGCAGCCCGTTAGACCGTTACACCACATGGAATTATTATATACCAGGGCACGGTTTGTAGTCATACCCTTGAAGCAGCTGACGGTAATAAACACTCGCGTGAACGCAATGTCCATGCAACCCCGCTACTGTCTAATATTTCAAACCACCATCTATTCTACGGAATTCCGAACACCGAAAATAATCAATGGCCACACGCAATAGAGACAATGCAGAAAGTCGCACATCGTAATGTCTGACCTCTTCCGTAGCGTGATAGAATTTTGAAGTACAATACATACTTGAGATATCGTAATGAATTCAAAGCTTGGTGTGGAAGCAATGTCAACAGTGCAGTATCTAATTCTTTTGGCTGATGCAGCCGTGATTGTTAGCGGAAGCACCACCACCATTCAACTGGTCTCCCCTGCCCTCCCCATTGTCCGATGTGAAGCGCAATGGATGCCTGCCACCCCCGTTCATCAAGTGGATAATTTGACTGGGTAGGCTGCTTATCAAACAAAACTTCTGTTGAATGTGGCTCACCAACCTTGGGCTGCGCGGCAGGAGTGTATAACCGATGAGATGGATGCATCCTGTCGCATCGTCAATTTCGACGATGATTTCATCTGTTTTGAATCATTTCCCGTTGTTGTGGCTGCGCAAAAATGTGGTCCTCACCATATTGTGCGCCGGGTGGGCAGCGAACTCGACTTGGGTGAGCCATTGAAGGGTTGATGGTATGCTTTGTGGGATCTGAGGTTTTTATTCAGTTCTTTGCTTACATCTTTTCTCTGCCAAACTTGCGACACCCTTCCATCTCGGCTCTTACAAGAAAAATCGATGCATTCTGTGGAACCTTACTTGTCGCAATGTGGGAGTAAGTTGCATGTAAAGTTTGATTTTGCACGGCAGCTGCATTCAACAATAGCAAGCCATACTTCTGCACGGCAGAAGGTTAGCTTATGGTCAGTGAAATTGCGCTTTCGCATCATAGCTACATTGAACAATAGCAGGACCACACTTCGATGCGGCAGAAGGGTTGGTGCATGCCGATTGAAATGAGGGCACTTGATTCCGAGGCATACGATGCTTGTGAACCAACGGCCAAGAGAATCCGATAGGCTGATGATGGCACTCCAAGGGAGTCCAGGCTTCGGGTAAGTCATGCATTCAATCATCTAAGATACATGGAACTCAGGCCGTAAATTACAAGAAATTCTAAGCGTTCAAAATTAAGTGTCAGGGTTGGTGATAAACGAAAGGCTTCCTCGTTTAGCAGCCAGCCGTTTCTTTGGTGGGGACTCAGACTGGGCGATGTCATCATTGGGCTCAAAAACTAAGTTGTCGAGGTTTAGTGCGTTGCAAATCCAGTTGTTTCCGCATGCAGGCTGATGTTGCTTTAGAAAGTTTGCGATCTCAACCGGTCCTCTGTCCCAGTAATGCCTCGGACCAGTAGCAGCTGACGAACTATGAAAACGTGAGAACGTGGAATAAACGAGGATGATATATGATTTACGTGTGAGCTTGGGGATCGATGAGGCACATGTGGCCTTTGATATCGAGAGCCCCTGGAAATATGGTCAGTAATAACCCCATTTGAACAGAAACACGAAGGTATCTTACCTTGAAGGTCGCAGAACAGAAGGTTTTCCTGAGAATATAGAACGGAAAAGTGAGCAAAGGCGTGAATTGCACGAGTGATATGGTCATCCGCATCCCCAATGCTTCCATTTCCAGTAAACTTTTTCACAGGTGCATCAACGGGTCCACATGGAAGAAGAGGCGTGGCCAAAAAGTTGAGATAGGGAAGTGGGCGGCTGTTCGAAGTTGGTGATGGGATAATCTGACCTAGAATCGCACCTTTGAAATTGAAATAAAACTCTGCAAAGCCAGTAAGTATTATAAATCGTCGGATGCTGTGGAAATTATGTACTGGGAATTGTCACCACACCCTTGTTCGATGCATGAGCATCGAACGCAATTTTGAAGGAATCACCAAGACACAGAAGTTTAAACTCGGCTTCAAGAATGTCCTGGACATCGCAGTGGGACATCTGAAGGTCGATTGGTACTGTTATAACATACTCCTGTCCCTCGAACCTGGCCTGAACAAATGTTATGATCAACCAGCAAATTCTTGACGTGAACGTAAGATCAGGAACTTACATATATACCCCGTTTTGTTGAGCCATTTCCGATGAACCCAGCCCCACCTTCCTCAGATAGAGACGTTTCGGCAACCTCGATTACTTCTCGCTTTCTCGAGGCTTCCATCACGACTTGACCACTGTCTGGCCCTTCCTGAATATATCGGGCAGTCGTTCTGGTAAAGTTGCAAATTACCATCTCAACGTCTCGCGACCAGTTAAACTTTGCGGCCACTGGCCGCACTGGTGGCCTGTAAGCACTTTTGAGTACTTCATATCGGGGAGCTGCTGAACTTTTGGTTAAACCACTCAGCGCTGCACTGTTGTACGTGGTAGAGACGCTGGAAGATTCGAGCCGCTTTCTCTTCGAAACAAGGGACAGCCTAGATTGGAGTTGGTGTGATTCCAATTCATCATTGTCGTTTGCGCGCTGATTCTGTGAGAAAATTTTATCGTCTGAGTTCCTTGATAAAAACACAAGAAAACAGAGGACAAACAAACCCTTTCGCCCTTTGTGAAAATAAATCGGATTTCAATGAACCGATCTTCTAGCTGGCGGGTAGGCCCTAGCTTCTTTAGGAGAAATTCATTCTTATAAGTAAAGGCTATTGATTTCGTGCGATCGATGTGCTCCAGTGATGAATACTTCGTCTGGTTTTCATGGGCGTAACATGTCACATTGGACCTAAATGGTGTGCGTTCAGCACATTGAATGGGAGAAATCTTTCAGAAAAGCGCACCAACTGAGAGGAACTTCATCTGGGCTTAATTTCTGAAAGCTCTCCCTCACCGCTCCAAAAATTTGATCGAGAACTAACCCTGTTCCGCAATCTGGATCTACGATTTGAACGACACGGAGGGGAGTGACCTGTGGGAGGGACAGAGTTTGTATCAGTGTTCTTGACAAGTTCCACAAGACACGCAGTACCTGAGTGGGTGTCTTGGCCTTTTTTAAGTTTGACGAATTATCGAGTATCCAAAGGGTAGCGGCAAGTCGTATTCCAACCTCAGTAAGCTTAGCCTCTTCCGTCTTCTTTTTTCGCTCAGCCACCACCTTCTGGGCCTTGTTGAGATTCTGAAATTTATAATCTGGGCGGGAAGTAGACGGGTTGCTTATTGATGCTGCAGTGCGAACGGTGTTGTGAAGCCTCGGGCCTGATGCCTGGGACTGGTGAACCTTTGCCCGGGCTAGAATGGCAGATGTGATTTCCGAAACGTCTCCACCCTGCTCGGTTGAACTAGTAGCCGGAGTGATATTCTCTTCCGCATCATCACCGAAGAGGATATCTGCCATTCCTCGCAACTTCAGAATTGATGCCGGAACATTCTCCGCGCTCTCTGCGATCTGCTTTAGTATTGGCCATTTGGAACAGTAATTGAAAAGACGGACTGTAATGTTCAATACAAATTGGGCATAGAGGGTGTTTTATCTTGCTCGAAACAACACCGCAAGTTGCGCATTGTGGTTTTTCCTAATTGGCCAAGACACCAAGTGCATTTAGAAATTTAAATTATGGTTCGTGGTTCTGCCCCTTACGTTGAGAAATGCTATCTCTGATTTTGAGAGTCCAGGTACCCGGGCTTTACACTTTGCGCAATCACGGCCTTCTTCAAGTCGAAGGAAAGTATGGCTGCATTTTGAGCAGGTGGTCATCCTTGACAATTCGTTGTGAGTTCTCTGAGACTATCAAGCAGGAGGAGTTGGGGGAAGGATGGATTGCAAAAAGCCTGAAAACTTGAACGATGCAAATCGAACCTGCACCTCATCGAGACCTGAACCTCAAATTGACCATCATTAATAATCTCAAATTGTGTACATGGAACAGGAATCGGAGATCGACAGTTTCTAAAAAGCTATCAGGGGCAAAAGGTCTTGAAAAACGAGCCAAACATTTTCCATCGTCAGATCAGTCACGCCTAGCTCCTCATAGGCCGCCTCTGCTTGTTGCGCAAACTCGGGAGTCACGAAATCAAGCAATGCAGGTCCTCCCAAAGCAGCCTTCATTCCATGGATAATCGCAAGACCATTTTCTGGGAGAGGAAGTAAGCAGTTCACACCTCCCCATGATTCGGGAAGGCTGAAAGCTTCGTTCCGTGAACAACCAGATGGGCCGGCCTTGTTCTTGTCCTTGCGCATACGGACACCATTCCTAAAAGTGATAAAACTGGCAAGCTCTTGACGCAGGAGCTTCGGCCAAATCCACTGACAAAGTTCGCTAAATAAAAGAAGAGAAAATGATTAGGTGGTGTAGATAAACTTCGATACGATAAGCCAAAAACATACTGATGTTTCGTGTCACTGGAATTGTAAATCCCATCATCGATGCCACGTCGGAAGGCAAGTACGGCATTGTTTCCGAGCTCCAGCCTTAAGCGAAGCCAGGATCGCTCAATGCCAATGTTGTGTACACTGCGCACGTATCGGTGGGCGGGGAGTACCGAAGGATCAATGTCAGCGTGGAACATTTCCCTAAATCAATACAAGAGGGATGAGTGAGGTCAGTGGCCGGCACATAACATCGAAGAGAGATGAAGACCTTAGGGCATTGACAATGCCATATATCTGTGTTGTTTCAGAACCACAATCCGTCGAGAACTCAAGGGGCAGACCTGAAATATTTTCCCATTCAGATAAGTATGAAAAGGTAAGCTTAAAGAGACAACTCACCTCCGATCTCTTCAACGAGACAAAGAAAGAGATAGGCCACGATACTCCCCATGCGGTTACTCGGCACTACCCATGCACCAAGCCACCTAGAGCTCGCGTCGTCTACAACTCCCCATATTGGAAAACCGATGGAGTAAAGCTTGTCGTGGCCGTCTCCGGCCCAGCGCTCATGGATACCGAGGGGGTTTTTCTTGACGCGGACTGTCTTCTTGGATCCGGGTTCCCGATGGTCAAAGCCTCTAGGGTCGAAAGCATGCATGATTTCAGATATGAAGTCGCGGGAAAGATGAACTCCATGTTTAAATGCGATGCGACTCTTGACGTTGGCAAGCCCACGGGAGCCGCTGATGTCATCGTCCATCTCCGAGACAATAAGCTGAAGGGCGTCGTTGTATGGCATGGTGGCGGTCGTTATACGACTACCCATGAGAGAGAGCTCTTTGCGGCGGCGCTTGACAGCAGAGTCCCTAAAGTAGAAAAATAACTGTCAGACACAAAGTGAACGACTCGAAGTAAAGATAAAATGCTAACTTGATGTCTATATTGTAATCAGCTTTGAGAAGCGCAGAAATCTTCTTGTTTGAAGTCAGGCCTTGCCGATGGTAACTCTCAAGGGCGGCTTTGAGAGCAGGGTCGTCTGCAGTTGCTGAAAACGTACATGCACATGAGCAAATAAATCATCGGAAAATTTAACAAACGAAACTTACGAACGGGGGCATACTGGTTAACACCTCTGGGATTCCGATTGTGACTCGACGACATTGACGAGGAGGCGAAGAGACCACAGGAGGTCAATGAGCAAACAGCAGGCAGATGCCGACTGAAGTAATCTGCGTTTGCGGCTTTTATAGGTCTCGTAATTTTCTGAGGTCAGAAGACCTATTCGGCACTGTTCGATTGGGAAGAATGAGCACCTGCGGATATTATTGACAACTTCAAGACACATACATAATAAAAAAACAAGGCATACAATAGTCCTTCTTACAGTTCACATCGTCGAATAGAAATACATACGTCTTAGACGTGTATTTTGAGCTTCGATGAAGCTGTTGACAATGGTCCAGACACCGTATACAGGCGGTGATTCACCCGGAAGGAGGATCTATTAGCGAAATCTAGCTCTATTTGGAAGCTACAGCAAGTGCACCCCCCACGCACCATCTCCATTGCTGACTCGTTTCTCTAGATGAGTCTACAAATTCCGCGATTGATAATGCCTTGCGGAACACATCGTTATCGTGCACAATTGTGTATGTATAGACGGAGGGTTCGGCAGATATGTTGCCACGACTTACGGGTGGGCACCTTCCGGAAAAGGATTGAGGGGTTGAACGTGAGGCCGACAATACCTAGGAGAGTTTGGATAAAGTGCCCAACGAAGAGTGGTTTAGAGGCGTACCGGGCCGGGTTAAGGAGGTCACCAAGGGCTTTAAGAGGTGAGTGCTGGCTTTCTCATCGATAGGATAGGACCGGCACTAAACGGTTGTTGAAGACGTACACGGTATCCACTGTAGAATCTTCGGGGGCGTCTTCTTGAGCCGGTTGCCAATATGCACGACGAGGCGCGCGGTGTATCCAAAGACACTGTTATTCGTTCCTCACCACATCGGAGACAAGAACGACTACGCGTGCATTCAGAAATGCACTTCTAAAACCTACATAATGCTTGTGAACAACCAGTGACTACTAACGAACAAGTGGACGCGCACCTCTAACTGTTATGAGAACGGATGCTCTCACAAGAAGAATTCCGGCGTCGGACGAATTAAAAATCGATAGTATGCGTACCAGACCTTGCCTTTACTAGTTTCTTCGACAAGACCATTCGCTGGGTGATTCAGGCTGTCCAATCAGTTCCACCACCCACCCGAGCAAAAGAGCAAACTCACATCAATGACATGCACAAACTTAAGAGAGCAGCTGGCACGCGACAACTTGTTTGAAATAATTGAACATGGCATCGCCCGCCTCCGTATGTGGGAAGTACGCCACTGGGGTAGGGCCAGGAGATGATGGACGCTAAGAAGACGCCCATGAGTGTGGCTCCGCGGACGCAGTAAATGAGTGGGGTGGGGTACTTACCACTGATACCAGTGGCACTCTCAATGTACGCCGTAGCAGGCTTGTCCTCATGTGCGCACCCATGCTGATGGAGGGGCGTCCACACAGGACCTGCAGACTTACGGAAAATGCAAGGCTGCCAGTTCGTGAATGTGGTGAGGTAAGTTCCTGGTAAACACGATACATAAGTACTGGCATGCTTCGAATGCAGAACTTCCGGAGAACCTGGTCGACAGCGAATAAAGGTACTGAAGATCCAGCGTAGATGTAGAAGCATTGGGAACGAAGCCTGGTGGCGGCAGCTGAGATGAACATCATAGAAATCGAGAAGTGTGAGGTGATATCATCTGAAATTGAAAGGTTTTGCATGCACGTAGGGGCTCAGCCTAACTAAAGTGCCTAGCGTGCAATGCATACACCAATCGGTTGACGATTCAACCACGAATGGGGGGTAAAGAGTATCCAACGGTATACGTGTCAGGGTTTGTCTCCGTGAGAAAGATCAAAAAACACCATTTCCAATTATTATATATGTACGATGTACGGTTTACAAATATAAAGAGAGAAAACATACGGAGAAAACATAAACATGTATGTTGTAGATACTGAAGGGCTACGTCACAGTAGTACTACTAGATGGTACACAGAAAAATATATTGCAGGCAGTCGTCACGCATTAGCGAAGCGGTGCCAAAACCCCCTAACACCCCTCACATCATGCTTCTGAACTAAAAATACAGACCTGCTCCTGGTCGCCAACCGTAGTCGTCTGCTCAAGGTAACGTGTCGTGGTTGTGTGGGATTCCAAGCAGATCGAAGCTGCTATGATTGCTGTATCCTTCTATGCTTTCCGAGATTTGGCCGCACCTGCGAGATGGACATCATTCCTCTTGTCCGGCATTTCGTTGCAGAAAGTGCTGATAGATTTTTATCACTCAGCTCACTGTTCTGAACAGCCATTTCCGACTCAGAGTCGGGAGGACAGGTACCATCATGTTGATGTCACGAGTTCGAGTGTAATTTTTTCGAGAACTTCCCGGATTGGAGAATCAGAACGACGGCCAGCATCCACAAACCATGCTCAATCCTTCGAAGCTTCACCACTGTTTCGTATATGAAACCAAATCCCTACGACGAGAATTGTTTTGCTTTGCTCACACATTGCAACCCCTGCGCGGAAAAGAATCACGCCATCCCTCAGGCCTCAAGATACCTACAGTTTCAATGTGGCAATTTGACCGATGATGTGAAGTAAACCCATTTAGTAATGGCCTCCCTGCTCAGCGTTGGACAGAAATTTTTGCCGTGTTCTCAAAACAAGACACTCAAGGGGTCCTTGTCCCGTCGCTTTTCCAGCAAACCTCAGTAAATTTCCTCTTTCTTTGTCCTTTCGATGTTTGCGTCGACGACGCACACTTAAAACTGAAAGGGGATGAGTTATTTTTATCTGCGCATCACGTTGGCGTGTGCTTCTTTGGACTAGAACGCGTCGTTGTCGGCACTTATGTATAATCCACGATGGTATGAGCACTTTAGGGTCGATTACGAACCCATTTGACCTCAATGCACTAGATATATTTCAACGTTGTTGAATTTGCATACAGGCGAGTCATCATTTTTGTATAAATGACCTGATTCTTGAAGAATAATTTCCGTCGGCATCCTGGTGCTTTCCCCTCCCTCAATGCTCGCCTCTTCCCTTGTCGCTCTATGCTTGGTTGCATTGGTGTCCGCTTCTCCCACGGAAAGGAGGCAGGGCGGACCCTCGGCTCGCGTTGTGACCAGCTGTACGCAGCACAACACTGTTGCATTGACCTTCGTGCGTTTATGAGTCCTCTTGTATCCATGTCAAGCGTCACGTTGATGCAATATAACCCTCTGTAGGATGATGGACCTTGGATCTATCTGTAGGCCATCTTCACGCAATTCGACGTGTCCGCTCACCGCTCTGCCACAGGAACGATGTTAGCGACACCCTCACGGCTAACAACGTGATTGGGACGTTCTTCTTTAGTGAGCCCACGTTCTGACATACGTCGCAAGGCTTCTAACCTCTATTTTAGATGGCAACAATTGCAAGTCTTCTATTTGCATGAGCATGCGGCTGGTATTAATCTGTGACCTACCATCGCACTAGACGCCTGCATATATGATGACGACTCAGTTCAACGGGTTCAATACGCTGTGGCTCATGGCCACCAAGTCGCGTCTCATACATGGAGCCATAGCGATCTCACCACCCTCAATTGGGATCAAAGTATGTTCGAGGATGCCCTTTGTTGATGCCGCGCTCATCTACTATCTAGTTCACAATGAGATGTGGCTTGTAGAACGTAAGATTCCTTTTATGTTTCGCTGTTTTCTTGTCAAACTTTCTCTTCCAGAGGCACTGTGGAAGATCGTTGGCCGCTACCCAGCTTTCATGCGCCCTCGTACGTCAAACTCACGTTATTATTATTATGAACATCTGATATAAGGAAAGCGTATGGGAATTATAACGATCTTGTCTTACAGGCGTCTTACATCCGTGGACAAGCGGTCGCTCTTTGGGACTTCGAGTATGTACTTATCGTCTCATACTACCTTTGGTGCCATTTCCCACCCTTTCCACCCTGAAGCTCCGGAGACTCAACGGGATCTACTCCCGCCCAAAGTGACGCAGCGTACGATGCACTGATTGCACAACACCCGAGTAACATCCTGGCTCTTAACCACGAGACGGAAAGCAAGCATTCTTCGTTCAATTTAAGAAATGCTGCTGATGCGTGAATAATCATTTCTCTAGAAACGACTGCGTAAGTAAGATGACATTGTCGAAGTAATTGCATTCGAATGAAAAAAAACAGGCACCAAGTCCTTCCCTACGCTATCAAGAAATTGAAGGCAGCGGGATATAGGCTCGTGAGCCTGGCTGAGTGTACTGGTCTACCAGCATATCAAAAGACTCAGGCTCCCACCCCACGAGATGTAAGGAGCTTCTATACTACTTCCCATGCGCTCTGACCAAGCTCGTTTCTGCCAGTCGACGTGGAAGTGTTGAGGCCTGAATGGAATGTGAATTTTCTATATCTATCAGTTGCATTTTGAACTTTTCTCCGACAATGGACAATGACAGACCCCTATACCGTCACTTGGACTTCTTCGCCTTTTTTTTCCTAACTTTCTTTCGTATTTTCAATCATTTTCGCTTTGCTGCCTTCTGCTCTTGACAACTAAGCAACGACTTTCTTATTATTAATGATCGCACTGATTCACCGTCCCTTCTCTAAAAAGGGCGAGACACCCTGCCATTCGTCAAGAGATTGTTCTTGAGTCATTTCCCCTCTGAATCCGACGATTGTTGCGGTTAACGCTAATCCATGAGATATATAATACAAATAAGGGTTTTGAAAACACAGTTAGTTTCTACAAGAATGTCCAAGGACATGAGAGAGGATTAGATAAAACTAAGAACCATGAAAGGGGGAAATCATGGGACGTGGGTCTAAAGTAAAGCAAAGGAATTTCTATAAACCGCGTGGGGGTCTATCCGTGGATAATATGTCCCTGAGGATGCTGAGTCGCCAGTTCGCCAATATTCGATAAATATGATCCCCAGTCTTCTAGTCTACAGAGCAGCAGTAAAGGTGAGTTTTTGCCCCTGAGACGAGGAAAGGAAAACGTACGCAAACCCAGTCGGAACGGTAGACCACGTCGACATCAAATCTGGGTCGATGTACGGAGTTTGCCGTTGTTCAGCATACTTGTCCACAAGCCTAAGATGAGAACTCTGCGGTGCATAGACCATCCCACCACCGCCCGACGACTGGCCCCTGTACATCCTCATACTATTCACTGCCAAGGCGGAGGCGGCATGTGAAGGTGTGCTTGATATTGCGGGGGCAGCATAGGATCCCCCACTTGGACTTGACGACCCGGCGTAGGAATTTCCATTTGATCTCGTGGACGCGATATAGGAATCTGTGTCCGAATCCGGCGCCCCTGGATAGTAATTGTGTGGTGCGGAGAGATTGTACATCGCACTCGAGCCCGTTGTGTCCATCAAACTCCCAGCCCCACCGCCAATCACACCATATCCCTGCGTTGAAAATTTTGTTTCGGTGACAACGGGATGTCGGTAGCTGAATGTGGAGGAAGAACTGCATGTGTCAGAGTTGCCAGTTATTGGAGGGGTAACGTTTGTGTTCGTAGTCCCACTCCCACTCGCAAGCTCGGTTGGAGGATACCAGTAGCTGTGCGACTGATAGTCAAGCGGTGACTGTTCGGTCATCGAAAAGTCGCCATGCGGAGGCAATGTTGCGAATTCATTGCCGTACGTCGGTAGCCTATAGCACTCTGACGGCTGGGGTGGCTGAAGATTATCCAATGACCGCTGTGCGTGTAGCGGTCTGTGCGCCTGCGAAGGAGGAGGAAGAAGGGGAAGTTGGTCTTGCGTTTGGGGCTGGCCTTCTTGAGCGGCGGAACGCGTCTCTTGTGGCAACGGGAGGTGTCTCATGGGTATAGGCACATACCTGGTCACGCGTTGTAAACCAGAAATGTTTCTTGAAACGTCGCTCGGTGATGGGGAATCATCCTTGGGGGAGGAAAGAGAGGCCATAGGGACCTCAGAATCCCTTTCGCGCTTGTTCGCAGGTGGACTAGGCTGTGGGAGAGGAAGGTCTCCGATGTACGCTAACTCGTTTAGGATATCCCTAAACCAGAAAATATATGTGAAAGCACAAAGAAGGACTGGAGATAAACATACCATAGGCGACCTGCTGAATGCCACCGGTCCTCGGACTTCCTTAGCATCCGCATGCATTTGTAAGCAGACAACATTTCTTTATTCGGATCTATTGATAGACCCGAGCGCTTCCCTCCCCAGATGCCGACCAGCAATACAATCCCGGATGTGAATGCAGGTAACTAGTAGAGCAATTAACGTCACCCGCGACTATCGAATGCAGAGTGATGTTTACCTGAAGTAGCGGCGGAGGGATGAAATTCCTCTTCTGCAGAATGTCAACAACATGGCTACAAGACCTTGCGGCATTGGTGCAGATGGCCAAGGAAGGAAATGGAGAGGGCGATGGGTGGTTTTTCGATGGGATGAATGGACGATGGACAAGAATCTGGATGTGATAGTAGGTCGCATATAGTACGATAGATTGCTTGAGGAATCTATCGTCTTCGCGGTTTGGATCCCAGCGCACTTTCGAGTTTGACCGTATCGTGAATAAGTCAAATTGAAGCGAGCGATGGCATTACGCACAGTGATTCGGGACTGAGTCCACCCATTTGTTGAGAGCCGAGTCAAGCTCCGCCACTATATGCTTCTCCCACTGAGGGCCAACTAAGCCAAGCAAGCTTTTGGACTTGTTGATCGAATACTGCCAGTGCACAAAGTGAGTGTTTAGTCTTACCTCCAAGGTACCGTCCGATCAGACAAAACTTACGATTGTACGCAAGGCAAAGCTTGCAATCTGGTGTAGCTTGATGTCGAGAATGAAGTAACTGATAAGCGAAGGTTTATTTGCGGGTTGCTTAAAACGCTGCGAAGGATCGGGATGTTCCCAGTATTCGTCATCACACTCAATGGGCATGTCAAGGTCAAAGCTGGAAAATCAACCTCAGCATTAAGAAGTCCGAGGACGGAGATAAGACTTACTCTTCATCTTGAATCGCACAGGGGCGACCGAGAGCGGTGCTAAACGCCCTGTCCAAACAGACCAGAAACCTGCGAGGCATAGCTTGTCAGATTTAATTGGTGATGTCTGACGTGGGCTTGTACCAGAAGGCGCGCTTCCACAGCTCATCTTCTACGGTCATCACATGGTCCTGTGCTTTACGCCTATGTGCGCCTACCTCCTGTGCCAGCCGGATACCAATGCCAACCATGGACCAACATGACTGAGGAGCAGAAGAGTCTTTCAAAAACATTACCGAGAGCTGGATAATACGTTCAAATGGATAGCGGATGAGAAAACGGTAACTTACACAGTAGAATTGCATGTCGTACAGTGAGGGTGAGACTAGAAGCGACCTAACAGTCTGTACTTGCTGAAACCACTTCCACCCACGGGAATGAAGTGAATCGTGTCCTTCAAGGAATACTCGCGGATCCTCTGAGAACCGTGATCCGATAGCGCAGACGAGGAGAAGAGTGCATGCAAAGCCGGTATTGTCGAGATGTAAATTTTCTGCAACGGACCTCTCAAAAGTTGGCCGATGAAGGACGGCTTGATAAAGATTGAGGTGCAGGAAAAAAGCATCGACGAGTTGCTCCATGAGATCCCGATCAGGAAATGATTCAAATGGTATCGATGGGTTGTCTGCACCTCCAACGCATTTTTCCCACTACAAGACATGAGACAGATTGCGGACATGGGAAAAGAAGAACGAGACGGACGGGTTGTGTTCCCCAAAATTCAGGGCGCTTGTGGTCGAGACTCATTGAAGGAGGGGCCTTGAAGTTGTCGCTGCTCACGTACTCACTCTTGAGCTCCATCGCGGTCTGAATGAGACTAGGTCCACTCGATTTCCCGAAAAATCTCTCTTCGATCTTGTCACTGGACCTATCGATGTCAAGTTTTTTCAAGGTTTCTATGAGAGTTGAATCGACAAAGACTTCCTCCTTCTGGTCGGCGCCGGGTTCACCGATCCTACTGATGATGGATGTGGCTACGTTGACAGAGCGCGGCAAGGAAGCGGAGCTACAGACTTGCTCTGCTTTTACAGCAGCGTCAGGGGACTGGCTTTCTCGGTCTGTGGCAATGTGGAGCTCTGTCAAAATGTTCTGGTCTGGGCATAACTAGTCGAAATCATTGGATTAGGTTTTTTTAGTGGATTTTTCAACGTACCCTCCGCAAAACTTCTTCCAGCATTTCCACGCGACGTTCCAAAATTTCCACGTAACTAGACAGGAAATCAGACATGTAAGTGGGAGAATACAGGAATTTCCAAACCCCTTTGTAGGACCTCGTTTCTAAACGTCGAGAATTAACGACAGCTTACAGTGAAACATATCATATACAGACTCGCCTTTGCTGCCTCAACATATGTACAATCGAAACTGCACAATATACAGTTTGAACAACGATTTCCGGGCATTTGAACTCCGTCGCCTGATGAAATATTAGTGGTGAAATATCGAGCAGAGGCCACTTGTTTGCATACATCGTACTAAAGATGAGGAAGTTTAGATCGACGGCTAAACAACCAATAGACACTGACACACTTTTCTTCCTCCTGCAGATGTCACATGCTCGTTGTATCCTTCGCTTCTTTTGATTTTGAGGCAGACCAGACGTGTTGTCCTCGTTGAAGTCCTCGCCTTCGGACGACATGGTGATGGTGCGGAGGATACATATCAAGCTTTGTTTTTATTGTAGCACCGTGGCAGAAACCATACGGATCAAAATGATCGATTCTCGCGATCATCGATCAGCCCTACCTTGGCAGCAGCCTCTGTTCCAAGGATTGTCAGAGGCATCGGGGGGGACAGACTTCGCTCCACGTGTATATATTTCAACAAGCTGCGGAATCCGGATGCGACTTAGATCCAGGGTCGCTCGAAACATGACTTTCTGTAGCTTTGCCAACCACCAGGAAGTCCGAGTGTGAAGGAAAGTGGACTTTGGGTGGATTCAGATTAGTATTTTCGGTGAGCTATGTATCGGTTTCGCGCTCTCTTCGGAAAATAATTTTAGCAATTTACAAAGATCAGATGCCACAACCTCGGCATCAGCCTTGTGTAAAACGACCTACACACAATTGAAAGCGCCTATATTGACCCTAACCCTTCTGTCCGATTTTATAGATGACGATCTTTTGAGCGACTTAGCAGAGAGTTTGTAAACTGCGGAACGTTACGGTACCCATGGGAAGTACCTCCCATTCCTGAGAGTTTCAAAGCTTTCTTCTAGTTATTTTTGGTAGATCTTCTGCTACAAGAATGGAGGCCGCTCGAGGCCGTCCGTCCTTCCAGGAGCTGTTCAACTCGTGACCAAATTTCTTCCCGCTGACTTCCATCCAACTTCCATCCGTACAAATTCCGTTCTCGTTTGTGCACTTCTTCTCTGCTCTGTAGATATCACAGTATGGTGCGGTGCCGCGCATTAACCATTGACACATCGGTGGGTTTGATAGGGTCAAGACTACTGCCACGTTTGGGGTGCGTTCATTCTTTGCCTTGAGTTTCACGCGGGGATCGTCCAGGTGTATATGTCCTCTTTGCTTCAATGCCAAATTCCCAGAGACGGCATCAAGATCTCAGCACTGGAAGGCGCGCACAAATGCTCTTTCGTATTTTGAGAAATTGAGTTTTGAAACATGATTGAAATCATTCGATTGATTTATTTGCGGGGAAATCCTCCGCTTCCTCCGATCAAGACAAGTAGCGAGCATCACTGACTAGCAATGGCAATTGCTTTCCGAATGCCATATGGTGTTTGGATGCTTTTCATTTCGCTGACAAGTGGACTCTGCGGATGCGAAAAACAAAAAAACCAGCTCTAATACACGTTCGACGTTAGCGCCCACACATTGACCCGGCCTTCCAGCTGCTCACAAAGCGAAATTGTGACCGTAACGTTGTAGATCTTTCAGTAAGTTATCCTCATTCGAACGTGATATTGACTTCTTGCTGAACTTAGATTAAACGGGTTGCCAATAGGAATATTGTGTCATTTATACTTGCGCCATAGCGCTGACAGTGAGATCTTGAAATGATTTAATCCCAGAGTAAAAAAAGTTCGGGTTTGGGGGGCTCCTCCAGATATGCAACTTCAAATCTAAGATTGAAGACACGAGTTATATTCCTATACGTCGCGGGAACTTATCTACAAATCGCAAACTCTCATGTTTCAGGACAGCTATCAGGCCGGCTTCTTGATTTCCCTGCGGTAGGGTGATATATTCAACTTCAGAAGCGGGGTCATAAACCCTTGGTGGGTACAACAGGTCATCCTTTGACAGTGATGGTTCTCACATCAGAAAGTGCACTTTTACACTTTACAATAAGTTACCATGGCCTTCAGACGTGATTTTTTGGTTACCATTTGTCCATGCTTTGTTTAAAATATGCTATTTTTTTTTTCAAAAAAAATGAAGACCATGGTCCCTTTTTGATCAAAAGAGGAAAGAAAAAAGTCACCATCAATGATATATATAAGTAGTGGTTTCTCTGTGAAGCCCACCTGTTTCAAAGTTTGTAAAACTTACATTTGCCTCATCTCCTTTGCACAGGTGTATGTAATTATTGCCTGGGTGTAACTACTTACCAGATGTAAATCTAGGGTGTTGCTGTTGTGATGGCAGTGTTTTCTGGATAAAAACGGCCTGGAGCTGTTGAATATTGAGAAGCATATTAATGGGTGCATTATAGTGTTTGAAAGTCCGGTTAGGTCCGGTTATTGGGTGCCCAGGGGCTCTAACCAAGACCGAGACCGGTTAGCCTTTGTCCCGAAACCTAAAATAACCTAACCGGACCGCAACTAACCGGTTACGGTCAGTTATTTGCAGTTACTAACCGGTTAGGACCGAAAAATAAAGAATCGGTTATAGCAAGGCAAATATGCTCATATATATCTTGATAGATATTATTTCTGCATATTCTAGCTTTAAAACGAGCCCAAGAACGCTAAAATCGGTGAAGAATTGACATATTTATGCAATTATCCTTGAAAGTCTACACATTTGAGTGATATTTTAGAGATTTGACCGTAACTTAGTCAAATTTTAAGCGTTTTCGACGTTCTCAAGTGCGTTTTGAAGGTGTATAATAGGGCTGGTTATAACCGGTTATTTAACGGTTAGTTAACCGCAAAATAACCGGTTATTCCATTTTCGAAATCAACTAACCCTAACCGCGGTTAGGTTAGTGTTGTGGTTAGGTCCGGTTATTTTCCGGTTAACTAACCTAACTTTCAAACACTAGTGCATTAGTGGATGGATGTTGAAGCAAACAGTTTTCGGAGAGATTCCTTATTTATGAAATACTTAAACTTTTCAAAAGGCAAGCTTTTATGTGGGTGACTTTCACTTTTGCCTTGGCACCTACTCATCAACCACAGATAAATATGAAAAAAAGCATCTTCTGAAAGCATAGAACAAAGGTGTTTTAACGGTCAAAGAATTATAAAAATTGGTTCATTCCTTGAGGCACTATGGTGTTTTGATTGAAATATTTGCAACACTCAGCAAATTATAGTAGTCGCAATGCATTCATAGCCAATACTGTGGAGAAGTAGTGATTTTTCCAATGAGTAAATTATTGGACATGTGTTGCTTGAAGGCATTATTTTCCTTCACCTTATCAATAAATTTAAATATGTCTGGAAATACACCTTTTGGTCACAATTTGAATGAAGCTATTGAGTTCACTGAGAATTTTTCTAAAAATATTGGACATATTCTGAATACATTCAATAATATCCAGGCACATTAAAATCAAAAATTGAATAAGCTGCTGGAGGACATTTTATGAACATCTTGCTAATATTTATTATTTGGTCCTTTGTACACATCCTAGTCATGGTTGAGGTTTATTATTACCAGACAAGTGTGAAGTAAATTATTGAGCAATAATGCCACTAACTGACATATGTTTAAATATGTGCCTAGTATTGGGCAAATGACTGCCTCTCCCGAGTGCAACATATGCCATGCTCTTTGAAGAAGAATGCCTTATATAAACTTGTATGTACAGACATTAGTTATAAAACCAGCAACGGCTTCATGAAAGCCGCAGCGGGCTAAATTTGTGCCTGTACGTGCGTTACTTGGTTGCATGTGAGCGAGCATGTAAAATGGATCCGCGAGTCCCGCGGGGGTTAGGCTCGCTTCGCACAACTAGTTTGTTGCACTCAAGTTTTTTAGACCTTTGAATAATACAACTGTGACGACAGTTCCCACTGCGGAGGCCTGGGTCGAGGTGGCCAAAGTTGCGTTAACGAGGATTAACGCGACTCTGTCCCAACTTTGAAAATGAATGCTAGGGGGGAAACAACTAAAAAAAAAACATATAATAAGACATCCAAGATGTGTAAATGACTCTGATGCAAATGTTTAAACAGTCTAGCTCTTCTTATGTCGTTTCAGAAGATTGTTGAAAATGCCACCTAAGTTTGAGGGTTGATTTAACATGCAATACATAAGACAATGTGCATTTTTTTTGTGATAGGTGCGTAAAGGTATACTTCATGAACATACTTGCCAAGTTTCATCTGAATAGTTCCAGAAATGCATGAGATATCCATGAAACACTCTTTTTCCCCGCCAAAAGTTTCGACCTTTGCGAATGGAAAATTTGTACTTGTTTGTCCGGACTTTCAGCGCTTTTAGTGAAGGAATGCTCGCTTCGCTCGCAACAAACAAATAAGTGCTGTTGATTACTAAGCGTCTGATCGATGATCAATGAGTCACTCTTCTTTTCCAACTTGCAATGGCCTCCATCGATAGGATTGTATCAGGACGTATACATATCTATCGATCAGCGTGAGTACTTATTGCTGTTGACGTTCAATCAGATTTTCAGGACATCCGTATTCCAGAATTTGAAGGGGCGGCAATTCACGAGGCTCGAAAAGAGGGTATTCCCCGAACCCTCCGATTTGATGAAATGGCGGTAATTCATCTTCGGGTACTTTGTTGAGGGGTCGAAATAAAATAAAAAAACAAGTTTGAAGCTAAGTAGCGCAACCACAGAACTTTACATGCATACTCTTCTGACAATCCTGCTTCTATAGCTTCCAGGTTTATTGGTGGGTCTGTCTCCATCACGATTACCGCAGGATTACCCACTAAATTCCATGCCTCTTCTCCTCCTAAGCGCTCGAGCACCACCTCCTGAAGTGTAAACTGTGCACCTTTTGACACCCGTTTTTCATCAGAACCTTGCCTCGTGTCTCTGTATATTCACACCAATCATCCAAGAGCCAGCTGACCGATTCTGACATACCCAACCTGGTAAGCTGTTTGCTTGATTTGATGACCTTGACCCATCGCATTCATCATCCCACTCCTTCATCAATTCGAATTCTCAAATCTTTCCTTTCTCCATCACTTCCTGCGAAGTTATCTATCTGTCGAAAGGAAAAACCTTCTTTTGCGTTTTTACGTTTATAGCGTGTTTGAAGTCTTGAGCAATGGAGACCCGCGCCGCGCCCACATCCATTTGAAGCATCAGTACCCGACGCCTATTAACCTCCTGTCTCTCTAAAACAAGTTTCTCCTCGCTAGCATTGCTGTTATCACAGCTCAACATGACCCAGAGTCAATGTGATCAGCCACATGTGTTTTTCGACTCGTTGTGAGTCTGTCCGCACCGATTCGTTACATCGATAAGTACTGAGATGACACGCAAACGTGTAGAACTTCATTTCCGTCTGGCATGTCAAAACAGTTCTTTCCCGATAGCCGCTCTCTTACTTATTTATCTCTAGGTCAACAGTTTCTCGATTCATCCACGTCGTCCCCATCTACTCTTTTGAATATCAATATTATGGACACACATACTTATACTGGCTCAACTGACGCCAATGTCAGTAATTTCGATCGTATATCGCTGCTTGAACGTTCAATTGTGAGTTTCCTTGCCATTCAGATCTGATGTGCACAAATATCAAGTAATGACTCGACTGCGCTTACTTGTTTTCCTAGTTTTCCAACTTCCTCTGCTGCGGTCTTCACCTCGCCGACTTCCATGCTCTGTTGGAACACTTCGAAGAAGACCATATCGTCGTAGTCAACCCGAACGGGAGGCGTGTCTACCCTCCTGGGGGCTTGTCATCAGTCGCTCTTCACCCCCGCTCACATACACTGGCGTCTACATCGCCTTCATCATCTCCTTCGTCGCCCATGACGTCTTTCTCAACTTCTCCACCCTCTCCACCATCCTCCATTATACCACCTACGCCTCTTTCTCCGAAATCGTCAATAGCCGATCCTGGGAATAAGGACAGGGAAAATCAACTGAGCAAGCCATGCATCCCGATTGTTTACACGCCGTTTATGCCATCCGCATTGGGTGACCCCTCCGAGACGACAGGCATCGTTTCCGCCCTAGAACCAGACTTTGACATACCTCACCACTATCCGGACGGGTTTTCGGAGTCGCCATGTAACGCCGATCTCGATGATGCAGCACTTTCTGACCCTGGCCCGCTCGATTTAGTGACCAACACTACCCCGACATACCTACTTGACACTAGCAATGCTGAGTTCATCAAACAAATCCATACAAAGAGGAGCTCGGTTACTCTCGTCAAAAGCGTTATCGGGCGTCGATCCACAACGCCGCGAGTCGGTTCGAATTTCGAGGAGGGTAGCGACGTTGGATTGAAACTTGCTCTGGAGATAGCGTCTCCGATTACGAAGAACAAGTATAGAATCCGTGTAGGCAGTCAAGGGATTAGCAAAAAGAGGGAGAAGACCTATCGTTGTCCGGTAAAGTGACGGTGAAATTATCCTCACGACGAAACATGCTCACTTTTGTTCTAAGGAGCCTCGATGTAGCAAGGTAAATGATGCTTCTCAATCTCACTGTTGTTGGATTTGCTCATAACCGATAGTCGTATCTCAACCCAAACGGCCTTAAGTACCACCTTGAAAAGGGGACTTGTAAGATAAATGGCGCGTCGGATATCAACACCCCACTATCATTGACACCCCTCGACGTCGTCGACAATCCCGGTATTCCTCAAGGTAAGGCGAATCGCAGGCTGAATCAAATCAAAGCTCATTTCCGTCGGGAATACATCTAGATCTCAACCATCAGGGTCGACTGAACGATGACCCCCAGAAGACTTCTTCGCCAGTTCCTGACAGCGGAAATCGTCTCGGTGCCGTTTCCAATCCCCGCCACACAATGCCAATAATTTCCCCGGTACCGATCCGCTATCGCGCTCCCCTCTGGTCAGGACATCAAAATCAACTTTCGAGATCCACGCTTGTGCAGTGTATCCAATGATGGGGGTCGTTTTGGTCAGGTATTGATTCTCACTTTCTGATACGCCGTATTCGACATGGTACGCCCAATGCGGATTCCTCATTGCCCTTTACGTACTATTCGACGTCATGTACTTATCTCCCCTTCCCATCTCATTCTCGTGGTTTTGTCGTGCAAAGAGTGCTCACTCTTCCCCCCCTTTTAGATATATACTTTGTCAATGTTTTTCTTGAATTCTACTCTCTCGTTGAGCCGGTCTTTCTTCGCCTCGTTGAACAGCGTCATGTCCAACCTGACCCAAGCTGCATATCTCCACTATTGCGATCACGGCATTATCGCCCCTAACTTCAAACTTCTGACATCCCGGACTTCGACCAAAGACATTACCCGATGGCACGAACTCTTGTATTCTCTCTGCTTGCTTATTCTCCAATCTGTCCTTTTCGCTGTGCGGGACTCGTGATTTTTTGCTCGTCCATCGGACCTTTTTCGAAAAGTAATGCGATGGGTTCCTTTTCCCAATCGCCCTCCCCTGCATCATTTGCACAGACCAATTTTCGAGAAGTTCCTCCAGGTCTAGGACTACCCTCATCGTACAATTATTTGTCATAACGTTTCCTCGCTTTCTCTGTTTGTAGGCCTTCTTTCCACACCACTGTCATGTTTTGCACATCTGTCTAACCGTAGAGAGTCTATTTAGGCGCAATATGTATCGAATTAACAGGCTAACCGTGGTCTGCATTTTAAACGATAAACATACGCGCAATCCAGGTGATTTGCTCAACCTTCAAGTGTCTACTTCGTCTATTTTGGCCACCAGTCCGGATATCGCTGCGTAGTGCCTTCACTCATCATGCGTCGTGTCTTCAAAATGTACTCAGTCACTTGATTTCTTGAAATCGTCCCTACTTCCTTGTTAGGCGCACATCGCGATTAAACAACCTCTGGAGAACTTGAATTTCGATCGGGTTGAAGAAGATACGTAATACTTCACATGTCCCAACCCCTTTCTTCAATACGTTTACCAGTCAGTTACCTGGAACTTTGACGGCCGTCTGTGGACAAAACTCACTTTTTTTTTCTACCTACATACTTTTCATGAAATAAAGCTGGCAATTGTCAAAGATAGCCAAAGATTGTTGAAGATTGCCAAAGATTGTTCCATTACAGAAACATGTGAAGGAAGAAAGCCAAATTTTGCGAACAATCTTCAACAATCTTGCGGAATCTTCAACAATCTTTCAATTACAGTTAGGCTTTGGTTCTATTTACAACCTGAGATCTTTGGCAATCTTGCATTTTGTAGGTCTGTACGTTTGGTACACGAGCAAAATTGAGACTGAATAATCTTGGAAAATCCCCCATAATCTTCCAGATTCTCAGCTTTCCCTCAATCCCACAATTGAGGGATCTTCAACAAACTTCAACAATTGTTAGGAACCAAGGAATTGACCCTATCTACAAACTTCAACAAACTTCAACAATTGTTGTGACCGCTGCCGCTGGTAAGCATCACAAGAGAGATGATGTCATGTTTCCCACCTTCGAGGACCAAAATCCGGTCCATTCGGTGTCCGAATG